ACACAATGGAAAAAACCTAAAACAAGTAGTCCTATTTCAAACCACATTTACTTACTAGTAAAATTTCTTTGTTATGACACTTTCTCCGGTTTATAGGACCTCTCTCATATTCTATCTTGTCATATCTAAACTCATAGTCATGTATGTCCTCTAACCATCTCATAACGGTTTCCAAACCACTTTTATCGGATGTAAAGTAAAAGCATGGACAGTTATGTAAAACGTCTAAAGTTTCTAAAGAGTCTCTCAAAGTCCAGTCTACTTGGTATTGAAAATCCCATGTGTTATAGAACGGCGGGTCCACTATAAAGAAAACATTTTCCTTGTCTTTATATTTTTCATACAACTCTGTCCAATGACATCTCACAAACTCTATACCCTCAATATATTTTTCTATGTCCTCTTTGAAAACATTTGTATAGTTAAGATATAAAACTTTTGACATAAGTGTTTCAATGTCATGAACTCTTATAGAACCACTATATAATAGTCTAGCAGATATACTATCCCAGTCTATATATTCTGCTTTTTTCAAAACCTCTCTCACAATATTTTTGTTATCTAATGGTATACGTTCCATCTTACCTATAGGTATCTTTTCTTTTAACTCTTTCAATATATTGTTTGTGTCTGGTATATGTTTGAGACGGTCCATATAGTTGTCGAAGTCATTGCATATAATCTTTGAGTCTGGGAATATTGTATGACATAAATGGGATATATAGAAACTTCCACCGAACAAATCTACAAATGTTAGACCATTCGGTAGTTTCTTAAGTTCTCTCAATATAATATCTTTACATTTACTCTTATTTCCAAAGAACGGTAACGGTGGTTTTGTAAAATTCATTTATATATAATAATAAAAATGTTTTTTCCTGAAAAGTGACAGAAAAGTGACAAAACATGAAAACATATATAATTTGTGAAAAGCTCCTGGAAGACCCGTATATAAGAACTTCATTTATACTAAACATCTTCAGGGCTAGAAGGGGCGCAGCCCCTGGAAGCCCTCCGAATAAAAACTTCATTTATACTAAACATCTTCAGGGCTAGAAGGGGCGCAGCCCCTGGAAGCCCCACTACCTTTTTTTTTTTTTTTTTTTTTTGATAAGTTACCAAACCGAAATAAGATTAACATTGCACAGTCATAGGAATTTCATTCCTCTTAGAAGAAATGTGAGCATTATCTAGAGATTGTAACTTGGTACTGCAATAATTCGTTGATATTTTACCATTCATAATGATCTAAATTAAAATATGATATAAATAAAATTATCGGAAACCTCCTTCACAATTCGACTTTGTGATCTACCTTTTGAATTTTAGTTATTAATATTGATTCTTTATTAATTTTATGGCAATTGATAAAATTACCGGAAAAGTGACTTTCGGTTGAACCAACCTTAATTTGGAAAATGAAAAATGTTCTCATTCTAAAAGATATGATTGATCAGCCTATAAAGAAATACCCAAGTTATGTAGACACAATCGAAATTTCTAACTCGTTTTTCTTTTATTTATCAATTCAGAAAGTTTCAGAATCACCAATATTAATTGACTCAAAATCTATTAAATCAATCAAAATATCAGAATCCACATTTCAATCTATAAATACACTCTCTTCAGGAGCTTTGAATATTGCTCACAATGCAAATGAAAACATTAATACGAATTTAATCATGAATTCATTTCAGATAATTAATTTTTATGATTGTTTATTCTGTATTTCTAATGGATTAAACAGCCATATTGATAGAAATCAATTATGTAACCTTGAAAACTTTGATAATCTTTTAATTTTCTTATCTTGTAGTAACCAAAGCGATATTATAGAAACAAATCATTCAAAATCATTCATGAAAGACTATTCTATTAAAGTAGATGAGAAATTCATGGGGCGGTGCCATGTGAGGTGAAATTTATCATACACCGATTGGACCTTTTGCTTTCCCGAAAACATAGAATTTATATTGGGGGCCAAATATATGTGCATATATCTATACTAATCAAGCCATATTTACTCATATAGTATTGAGGAATAATGTGTTTTATATAAGATATGAATTTCAAAAATTTTGTTTTATTTCATTTTGAATACAATGAGGTATCTATATATATACTCTATATTGTGTTTGTAAACTCATTTTGGTCACATATCCATTTTTTAATCTGAATCTTATTTGAGATTTCAAATTTTTATCGACAATCATATATGATCACATCGGCATTTGGAGATACTTATCTTGTATCTCCAAATATCGATGTGATCATTGTATTTAATTGTATATTGACCAAGAGATTCCGATGCAGAATATTCAAAGTAGATAGTTTTTCCATTCTGTACACATAGGTGCAGGGTCTATCACTGGCATCCTGCACCAATATGTGCAGAATGGGAAAAGCTTGCACTTTTACCTTTCGATGCGAATGTTGCAAACACTTTTCCCATTCTGCACATATATATGCAGGGTCTATCACTGGCACCCTGCACCAATATGTGCAGAATGGGAAAAGCGCGCACTTTTGTTCTTCGATGCGAATGTGTCGGACATAATTCCTGATTTGCTCATATATTTGCAGGGTCTATCACTAGGACCCTGCACCTATATGAGCAAATCAGGAATTGCTTGCACTTTTTCACTTGAATGTGATTCATTGAATTTCAATTCGAGAAAGGAGTTTACAAATGCAGGGTAAAGGAACAATACCCTGCATTTGTTAACTCCTTTCTTGTAAAACCTTCCTCCAAAAAAATATAAAGATCACATTCTTCTTAAAACTCTCAAAATCTCATTATTTCAATCTTATAATCATAAATAAGCATACTTTTTCTATCTAATATTTCTCTATTCCTTAATTTTCTTATGAAATTTGTTATTTTTTATTTAATTTTTAAAATTTTCAATCTTTTTTGGATAATTTTATTCAATTTTATGATAATTTATTCTATTCTCATTATATAATAATATTGTTCATTTTTATTTTTTTAATTTTTCAATGCATACGATAATTTTTAATTCAATTTTTAAGGGAATGTTTTGATGGGATGAGCTTACTGAGCATAGGCTCATCCCATCAAAACATTCCCTTAAAAACTCTGGCCTTCATCGAGGCCAGAGTTTACAATTCATCAGCTCAGAGCCAAGTTCCTCGACGGTCGTCCTCATTAGGCCCGATCCGAGAGGAACTTGGCTCTTCATTAAAATCACAAGCTCTGGCCATTGCTAAGGCCAGAGCTTCGCAAACCATCCTCGGGGCCGGTTTCCTCAAAGACCGCCCTGATTCGGGGCGGCCGGAGAGGAAACCAGCCCCGAGAGAGTTCCCATACGAAGCTCTGGCCCAAGCAAAGGCCAGAGCCTGCAAATACAATCCTCAGGGCCGAGTTTTGCGATGATCGTCGATCATGTCGACGGTCTCGCAAGAACTCGGCCCTGAAAGAAAGAAATACACAGGCTCTGGCCCTAGCAAAGGCCAGGGCTTCGCTTACTGTCCTCAGGGCCGGCTTTCTCAAATGCCGTCCTAATCTAGGGCGGCAGGAGAGGAATCCGGCCCTGGGAACATCCAAATACGAAGCTCTGGCCCTAGCAAAGGCCAGAGCCTGCAAATACAATCCTCAGGGCCGATTTTGAGGGAGATCGTCCACATCATTGACGATCTCCTCTCATTTCGGCCCTGAAAGAAAGAAATACACAGGCTCTGGCCCTAGCAAAGGCCAGGGCTTCGCTTACTGTCCTCAGGGCCGGCTTTCTCAAATGCCGTCCTGATCTAGGGCGGCAGGAGAGGAATCCGGCCCTGGAACACCCAAATACGAAGCTCTGGCCCAAGCAAAGGCCAGAGCCTGCAAAATACTCAATGTTCAACAATTACAAATCTCATGTCACCCAGAAAGCTATGAAGGAAGCCCTTTCTCTAGGTTAGGACTTCCTTCATAGCTTTCTGGTACTGAGTGGAGTGGTTTTGGCTTCCATTGCCGCTCACTCCAGTAAGATCACGAGATTGTACAAAAGCCACGGCAAGTGCATTCCAACACCATAAATACACTTGCCGTGGAATACGGTTGCGAGTGCCTGCTGCTTCAACCGAGATTTGCAGCAGACACTCGCAATGATAACTAAAATTCATCATAAAGCTGGGAAATGGGCCTTTTCTCAAGGTCAAAGCCCATTTCTCAGCTTTATGATATTGAAACGAACATTTTGAGAGGTTATTACTGTTTTTCCCGGAATCATCTTGAGATTCCGGGAAAGTCATAGCAAGTGTAATCTATTAGCATAGATACACTTGCTATGACACATATATGCCAGCATCTGCTGCTTACCCCAAATAAGTAGCAAATGCTCGGCATCACATCTTGAGATCCTTATTATCTGCGTATTTTTCATTTTAATATATATAAATGTGTGTGTCTAACACAAGTCTATATGCGCCATGTAAAATATACACTAATACACACATATTGATCATAATTAATAAGATATCAAACTATAAAAACTGAGATATTACTATAAACTATATGTATTATTATTATATAGGTACCATACTATAAGGTCATATGAATATTATTGAAATTAGACACACTTTATATAATTTTATAATGTGAATAACTTGGGTCATAATTTTTTTTACGTAATTCCTACACGAAATTATCGGCATTACCCTAGTCTATCTGCGTGCAAAATACCAAGGAACAAATCAAATACTCACCATATCTTTTTTTAAAAAGGTCCAATCGGTGTATGGTGATTTTCACCTCACATGGCACAACCCCGAAATTCATATTAAATTATTGTCATTTTTCGACATTAATTCCTCATAAAAATTCGCCTCTATTTGTAATTCAAGATCAAGCTAGTTTTTCCAATTCTATATTTCAAAATATTGAAAACGCAACGGCATTCGCAACACAAAGTACAATAGCTAAATTAATGACTAATTATCAATTTATTTATGTACGAATTAATTCAGAATCATGGAATGATTTTTTTGAAAATATTATAATGACGAATTGCTCAATTTTGAATGAAACAAAGGAAATTAACAACTTATCAAATATTATTACAATCCATCCATTTTTAACACCATACAATATAGAGTACAAATTCTTTAGTTCAGTTCAACCTCGAAATGAGAATTTTGTAAACAAAAATCAAAGAATTGAAATAAGATATGCATCAGTATCAGAGTGTATCATCGAACAATGCAAATTTATTTCAATTAAACATGATCACGTTGGTGGTGCCGTAAAGATTGTGGCATCACAAATAAATGGAATTATAGAGAATTCTTTATTCAATGATTTGACAACTTATTCTTTATATAACCCTGTTGATGGAGCTGGAATCTTTTTATCTACAATGACAGGTAGTTTATCACTCAAAAATGTTTGCGCTTTCAGATGTGCTGCTTTGGATTCAAGTCATTTTATATTTGGAAATATTAGAGATTGCTTAAATTCTTCATTTTCTTTGAATGATTGTTCTGTTGGCCAATGTCCAGGAGAATTAGATTATATGGGACAGACAATGGAAATACATTCTCCTGCTGTCATAGAACATTGTAATATCTCTCAGAATTCGCCAAATAGATTTGCTGTTTTTGATAACTTCGATCCAAGATCGACAAATGAAAGCTATTTGTCAGTTATTCTTAGGGTTTTAGTTTATAATAATTCAGTTGAAAGTCATGGTTTGATTAACTGTCCATCAGCTATGATTGTTAGCCAAGTTAACTTTATAAATAACTATAACTTGGCTAGTAATATAACAGAGATATTCACTTATTATATCAACCTTTCTCTGTCAAATATTTATTATGAAAATAATTATAATTTTAATGTCTCACATTCTGATACAGAAAATATCTTGATTTTTGATGATTACTGCTCAGAAAAACCTGGTTCCAATAAGAATTGGACACCTTTGATCATTTCCTTATCAATATTAGGTGTTATTTTAGCATCAATCAGTATTTTTGCTTGTTTCCGTTTACATAAAAGATTCCAAAAGATTGAAAATAGAATTGAACTCGAGAGGTCTTTAGTCACAGACTATGGATAGAATTATAAAACAAAGATATTAAATGTGTGTTTAAATAAACTATATCTTTTTCATTGATGAAATTTCTACTACCCTATATTTCCAACTCTTGGAAAATTTTCATGACCCCCTACCCAGGGTCCTAAAATGGGTATTTTCCTCACACAGACACCGTGGTTTTTTGAGCCGGGAAATAAATAGCGCAGACAGTTTCTACATATAGAGACATGCTTATACTTAGAGTTTGACGGGAATCTAAAGTGATTTTTTTCTGCATCGCGAAATCTAATGCAATCTCAAAATCATGAAGAAACTGCGAATCGGAGCGCAATTTTTAATATGTTAATATATAAAGGTACCCCTACTACTGCAAATGCTTCAAATGAAAATCTAAGAAATCAGATTAATTTGATCACATTAGTATAGTATTGGTCAAACCAAAAACTCATATGTTGATATATAGCCTATAGATATTCATATTATCTACTTTTCATTGAATTACAGAAGATTTAATAATCTCATAAATATTCTTTTTAATTTTCCGAATTCCGTGTGCATTTAGATTGCCTATACCTGTATATAATAATTCTAGAATGGTTTGGTTAGATATTAAGTTTTTTAGATTAATATTTTAACATTTTGATAAAACAAGCATTTGTTCCATTTTAGAATCGCCATTGAACTCTAGTTTGACTAACATGATGTTGTATGATCAAATAAATTCTAACTTCATGAGATAAATTTTGAAATTAGAAAATGCGATATCTGACTCAAATATTTATATGAACACATTTAACATTCAATGATAAACTAAAGTACTATACAGCAGATTCGATTTGGCTTATATTTTATATAATCAACTAATAATCCTATAAAATTGTGCTATTCACGTTGCTCAAAGATGTATTGAACATTCACTACTTGTGTATTGATAAAATTAGATATAGATTCTAATGTAAATCGATATTTTGAAAATTCATATATATTTTGTCTTGGTTTGGCATTTGATCGTGTTGAAACCGGAATTGCAATATATATCGTCTAAATATATAACTATCAAAATATGAGCTATAGATTTTTAAATTATTCTCCTGAATATGAGTGACTAACATAATTATATTGAATTGAGTAGTAAGAATCTTAAATATTAGAATCTGAGAATCTTAAATATTAGAACTGTATAAAGGAACAAGACTATAAATGATGATGAAAATAAAGATTAAATTTAAATCTGAAAATTTGAAAACATTAAGTGTATTGTGCACTCTTGTCGGTCACAGTGTCTCATTCCGGGAGACATTGTCACTGCATGTCTCCCAGAATGATATCAAGTTCCCCATTCATAACTTGAATGCGGAACTTTGACCGATAAGAGTGTATTGTGCACTCTTGTCGGTTGAAAGTTCTGCAATCAGAAGAAGATTGTTGAACAATCCGCCATTCCAGGAGGCATGAGCTTGTTATCTCTCCTGAAATGGCACATATTTGATAATTCATGGAGCAGAACTTTGCACGCAATCAGACAAAAGATTGCGACAGAGTAACTGGGAAGACAGCAACTTGAAGCGAAGTTTTGTTTTCGAGTCTTTGGTTAAGAAATCTTAACAAAAAAACAAAGAAAAAAATCAGATAAAGTTGTCAATAACTTCATCAGTTAATGCTCACCTATGGGAGGTGTTTTGCGGGAGCTGGGGGTATCTTGGTGAGTACTCAGGAGGCCAAGAAGGGCACCCCAACCGACATTATCCTGATGAATTCAGTTGTCAACCATTCTGAAAACCGCTGAAACCGTCGTGTGTAGAGAAATTGTTTAAATTTATTATTTTCAGATTTAAATAAAAATAAGAAATGTTTACTATTATGGATTTTGAAATTTTTTAAAATTAAGAGTAGGAGATGAGACAAATTTAAATTTTTAAGAAATATTTGGAAGGGCGTAAGATACGCCAACTTAAATATATTATCAAATGAGAGAAAATCACTCAACAAAAAAACAATTCTTTCAAAAAGTTTGACATTGATCTTTCTAATACATATTTTTGGAAGGGCGTAAGATACGCCAACTTAAATATATTATCAAATGAGAGAAAATCACTCAACAAAAAAACAATTCTTTCAAAAAGTTTGACATTGATCTTTCTAATACATATTTTTGGAAGGGCGTAAGATACGCCAACTTAAATATATTATCAAATGAGAGAAAATCACTCAACAAAAAAACAATTCTTTCAAAAAGTTTGACATTGATCTTTCTAATACATATTTTTGGAAGGGCGTAAGATACGCCAACTTAAATATATTATCAAATGAGAGAAAATCACTCAACAAAAAAACAATTCTTTCAAAAAGTTTGACATTGATCTTTCTAATACATATTTTTGGAAGGGCGTAAGATACGCCAACTTAAATATATTATCAAATGAGAGAAAATCACTCAACAAAAAAACAATTCTTTCAAAAAGTTTGACATTGATCTTTCTAATACATATTTTTGGAAGGGCGTAAGATACGCCAACTTAAATATATTATCAAATGAGAGAAAATCACTCAACAAAAAAACAATTCTTTCAAAAAGTTTGACATTGATCTTTCTAATACATATTTTTGGAAGGGCGTAAGATACGCCAACTTAAATATATTATCAAATGAGAGAAAATCACTCAACAAAAAAACAATTCTTTCAAAAAGTTTGACATTGATCTTTCTAATACATATTTTTGGAAGGGCGTAAGATACGCCAACTTAAATATATTATCAAATGAGAGAAAATCACTCAACAAAAAAACAATTCTTTCAAAAAGTTTGACATTGATCTTTCTAATACATATTTTTGGAAGGGCGTAAGATACGCCAACTTAAATATATTATCAAATGAGAGAAAATCACTCAACAAAAAAACAATTCTTTCAAAAAGTTTAAAATTGATCTTTCTAATACATATCCTATGGAAGGAGTTTACATTCTCAAAATAAAAACCAGTTCAAAATCTTATTATTCCTTGAATAAAAATCATTTAATTTCAAATCCATTCCAAATCCTTAAATCTGTATTAAAATCATTTTGCCAACAACCAATACAATACAAATTACATTTCCATATATCTTCTTGTCCATTTTAATTTTTTATCTCATTTTATTTAATTTTATTTAAAGCATATAGATATCGAGATTCTTTACACATAGTTATATAAAAGTCCAATACATAATAAATTCTTAATTCTAGAGATATCTCAAAATCTCATTTTTTTAATTTAAAATACCTTTCATTTTTCACAGTACGATCACAACAAACAAGCCATTTACTAATTAACACATATAAGAAAAATATCAAATTACAAAACAACTTTCAATATCATTCGCATCAAATTCTATTTTTTCATAATTATCAACTACATGTTATTATATAATATATGTCGGCGCATATTCCACTCTATACAAGTGTCAGACACACTCACACAAAGCTGTGAGATTCATACCTCTATCAGTAGGACTTCTCAAATCAAGAACACATATGTTTCACTATTGCACATCTGTGTAGGATCTAATTAACCCTTTGGACTGGTACTTCAAAATTTGATAATTTGATAATTTCATGTGATATCATCATTTGCCTTTAAAACAACTGTGCGTTAAACTAGACACGTTTCTCTATCATAATGCAAAATATCAAAGTTTGGGAGATTCCCAAAGTGTCTGAAACTGATCATAAGGGTGAAAAACCGTTTTCCAGAAGTTGGGAACGTAGGGTATAAAGAAACTCTTCAAATAGAGTTTCCCAAGAAACATTTTTATAATGAATTTTTTAAAATGATAATATAATAACAATGCTTAAATTTTTTAATCTTTATTTTATAATTTTACTAGAAGTTCCTAATTATTTTGGTAATAAGATAATATGACTATTAAAATCTTAAAGATCATAATAATTCTCAGCATAAATTATTTTTGGTTAAATTTATGGAAATTAACTTTATGGAAATGATAAAATTAATGTTTAGGGTAGATTTGTCGTACATATACGAGTGATAACTGATGTCTAGCTATATATATTAAAAAAATATTAATTTAACATTTTAAAAGTAACGAATGTAAAGTTCATACAGTTTATTCTGTGTCGAAGAGCTTTGTTGAGAGGTATTTCTCGCCACGGTCGGCAAAGAGAACAACAATAACACCGCTGTCGAGCTTCTCTGCAAGCTTCTGTGCGGCAAGCATGGCGGCACCACTGCTCATGCCAATGAAGATGCCTTCCTTTGCAACAATCTCGCGTGCCTTAGCAAACGCTTCTTCGCTCTCAATGAGGATGTGCTCGTCGATCTTGTCTGCCTGGTAGATAGCTGGAACAATAGCTTCCTCCATAGACTTAAGACCTTGGATGTAGTGGCCCTTAGTTGGTTGTGCTTCGACAATCTTGACGTTAGGGTTCTTCTCGCGGAGGTTCTTGCCAACACCCATAAGTGTGCCTGATGTGCCGACTGCTGCAACGAAGTGTGTGACTGTGCCATTAGTCTGTGACCAGATCTCTTCGGCGGTTGTCTTGTAGTGTGCGATCTTGTTGTACTCGTTGCTGAACTGGTTAGGGTTGAAGTACTTGCCTGGGTTCTCCTTGACGAGTTCGGCAACTTTGCGGATAGCACCATCTGTGCCGAGCTTCTTGTCGGTGAGGATGATGTCTGCACCGAAAGCTTTGATCATCTTGCGGCGTTCGATTGAGACGCCTTCGCTCATGACGATGATGACGTTGTAGCCCTTGACGCGGCCGATCATTGCAAGACCGATGCCTGTGTTGCCTGATGTAGCTTCGATGATTGTTGAACCTGGTTGCAACTTGCCTTCCGCTTTCGCTTGCTCAATCATCTTAAGCGCAATGCGGTCTTTGACTGAACCTGTTGGGTTGAAGCCTTCAAGCTTTGCGTACATCTGAACTTTCGGATTTGGGTTGAGATGGTTGATGCGGACGAGTGGTGTGTTTCCGATTGTCTCGAGGATGTTGTCGTAGATCATATCTTAGATCAAGAAATGTAAGAAATGATGTGAGAAAATTTACGGATGACAGAAATCAATTTTTTCTGTGTTACTGTTAACAACTTCTCAATTTTTTTCTGATGAAATCTGTTCAACAATTTGAATGGATGATGGTCGATTTGTGTGAAAATTTATCCATAATTTGTTAATTCGATATTATCCAACGACATATGTCATACTGATACGACGTGACATAACATTACAATGACAAAACAAATAAAATTATTTTGTTTTCTTTTCTTTCAACTCAAAAGATGTTAATTTACAATATCTCTATTACAAATATGTATATTATTACTCAGCACTCTTATATCGAATGACAAAACAGATTTCGTCTTGAAGAAAAATATATTTTATTGCTTCAATTGAGAATTGAACTTGGGTTATCTTCTTATTATGATTAATTTATACTGTTGATCTGGACATAATATGAAATTCATGTTATAACGAAGATTGTTTAAGGGTGGCGGAAAGTGAAGTGAATGAGCAAAAATAAAATGCTATTATCTCGCCATATGCATAATATCTTTCGGTAAAAATTATATAGCTACAAATATCATTTGTAGTAGTATACGTATGCCATAATTTCATTATCATATATGCAAGCTTTTTATTTTCCCTCCTGTGATAAATATTTGACTTTCGCTTTTGATAGGGGTAAAAAAATTTAAATATCTCATGATTGGAGCTTTAAGGGTGCCCTATAACGATAATGTAAACATCACAAAATTAACCTTATTAGAACTCGAATGAATGGATTATCCAGATTCTAGTTCTCAATATAATAACCTTAAAAGTGCTTTTCTGAGGGTGGTCTATCGTCTATAGGGCACCCTTAAGCACAAAATATGCTCAATAGAAAACATAGAAAACAGCATCTTTTATATATTTAAATATGAAGAAAGACTCCTTATCTTATATTGAAAGACTAGATACAAATCTAATCAAACTCTGAATAGGTGCAAACTGTAAAGAAAAGTATCGGATGTAATTGGTATTTATATGCTGTTTATTCTCATACATTGATTTTATGCAAATTTTATAAGTAGTTCCAGATCTCATCACTTATTGCATCTTAGACGAATTTAATAGATACGTGTTTTGTTCAATAGAAAAAATAGATCTATGTACCTATATTGCATACCTTAAGTATTTTTGATATTAATTCAAAAACCAGAGACTAGATACAGTTGGAAATTCAATTTTTTCATTCATTATTTCTCTACCAGATAGAGATCTCAGACGACACAAACTTTGTAGTAAATACTTATTTATATACACTATTTAATTATGTTACAATAACAAAATAATTTCAAATATTTATTTAGTTATTTTTACTTTTTGTTATTCGGTCACATCACTTTCCACCACCCTTAAGAAATTTTATAATTAAATTTACAAACTTTATTCTCGCGATTAATATTGTATATAGGCATGTACAGAAATCCAAATTTCTATTGCGAAAACTTGTAATTGCTTTTCAAATGATTTTAAAAATTTTGCACGAAATAACTTCATTGTAACTATAATCGGTATGACAAATTGATATTTAATATAATTATATGTATATTGGACGATAAAGAGAATAAAAAGGAAAATTGCAACTTTTTTGATGAATAATTGATCGATATTTCAGATAATTAATCATCGGATATAGATAAGTGTGGTATATATATCATCCGCTGAAGATACTGGCTCAAAAATATAGTCAGGAAAGAATTTATTGAATCAAACATTAATAATCAAAAAATCTGTTTTGTCATTCGATATAAGAGTGCTGAGTAATAATATACATATTTGTAATAGAGATATTGTAAATTAACATCTTTTGAGTTGAAAGAAAAGAAAACAAAATAATTTTATTTGTTTTGTCATTGTAATGTTATGTCACGTCGTATCAGTATGACATATGTCGTTGGATAATATCGAATTAACAAATTATGGATAAATTTTCACACAAATCGACCATCATCCATTCAAATTGTCGAACAGATTTCATCAGAAAAAAATTGAGAAGTTGTTAACAGTAACACAGAAAAAATTGATTTCTGTCATCCGTAAATTTTCTCACATCATTTCTTACATTTCTTGATCTAAGATATGATCTACGACAACATCCTCGAGACAATCGGAAACACACCACTCGTCCGCATCAACCATCTCAACCCAAATCCGAAAGTTCAGATGTACGCAAAGCTTGAAGGCTTCAACCCAACAGGTTCAGTCAAAGACCGCATTGCGCTTAAGATGATTGAGCAAGCGAAAGCGGAAGGCAAGTTGCAACCAGGTTCAACAATCATCGAAGCTACATCAGGCAACACAGGCATCGGTCTTGCAATGATCGGCCGCGTCAAGGGCTACAACGTCATCATCGTCATGAGCGAAGGCGTCTCAATCGAACGCCGCAAGATGATCAAAGCTTTCGGTGCAGACATCATCCTCACCGACAAGAAGCTCGGCACAGATGGTGCTATCCGCAAAGTTGCCGAACTCGTCAAGGAGAACCCAGGCAAGTACTTCAACCCTAACCAGTTCAGCAACGAGTACAACAAGATCGCACACTACAAGACAACCGCCGAAGAGATCTGGTCACAGACTAATGGCACAGTCACACACTTCGTTGCAGCAGTCGGCACATCAGGCACACTTATGGGTGTTGGCAAGAACCTCCGCGAGAAGAACCCTAACGTCAAGATTGTCGAAGCACAACCAACTAAGGGCCACTACATCCAAGGTCTTAAGTCTATGGAGGAAGCTATTGTTCCAGCTATCTACCAGGCAGACAAGATCGACGAGCACATCCTCATTGAGAGCGAAGAAGCGTTTGCTAAGGCACGCGAGATTGTTGCAAAGGAAGGCATCTTCATTGGCATGAGCAGTGGTGCCGCCATGCTTGCCGCACAGAAGCTTGCAGAGAAGCTCGACAGCGGTGTTATTGTTGTTCTCTTTGCCGACCGTGGCGAGAAATACCTCTCAACAAAGCTCTTCGACACAGAATAAACTGTATGAACTTTACATTCGTTTCACATAATTAAGAATACTGGCTTTTCTTATGCTATTATAAAATCCTAATAATATACAATTGATTTCATAATCTTTTACCGAAACATTTTAGCATATAAAAGCATTTTGCATTTTATTCTGAAATCAGATTTAAATGTTAGTGATATCTTGTTTATGATGTGCTAAATAATTCAAATCTGCTTAACTATAAATCGGATATAAGTTGATTGATTCAAGATTTGTTGAGTTCTTGAATTGTTATTCGTGATATGTTTGGAAAGTTGCAGCTGTGTGTGAAATGTATTTTAATTGTAACTAGGTCCTTATTGAAGGTAAAACGGATAGGGATTGATGAAAAATGACAAATCCGTAAAATTGTCATATCATTTTTTGGAAATATTTTTCTTTCACTATTCACGCTCAATGTTTTTGAATTGTATTTGATTAGAAAAATTGTAAACTTTCTGACACTTCCGTATAAATGACAACTCATCCATTGTTTTTGGAGTGCAAGAGCATTCATGACAAGGAAGTGTCTATTAAAGAATACAAAGCTAAGAATATTTCGAGACTTTTTGGAAGTTTTTCAACATTTTTACATCCATTTCAGAAACAAGTCAAAAAAGGCATCTTCAAAAAGGATCCCGTAAAAACAATTCGTTTAGTATTGGATGTTGTGTATGAAATTGTTGAAGAAACTACTCCAGGAGATTATACTATCGAAATGATTGACGATATCAAGCAAGTATTTATCACACTCTTACACCCATTAAATTGGAACGAATACCGTTACTATGGTACAAGACTTTTGTGCTTAATCGTTAATATTTTGAATTCTCGAGCAAATTTCTTTGTTGATAGCGTTCTTCAATACGTACTTGACTTTACACCATTTTCTGATCAAATTTCACCCGATTCTAACCTTGTTATTCAATGCAATCCAGAATTAAGAATTCAAATCAATGATTCTCAGCCTCCAGAGAAAAAGAACTTAATATTACAGCTTCAATACATAATATCGAATACTATAAAGTGCAACGATGACCTATTTCTCATTTGGTGGAAAATTATTATGAAAATTCTTTTACAACCATGCTTTAGAAACATTGCCATCGCTAACAAAATGCAAGGTAGTGAGTATGGAATCAATGGTCCTGTACCAGAAGCCATAATGAATGAACTTCGTGTATTAATTAAATATTTGGTTGATCATCCTGATCTTTTGTTAAAAGTATTCGAAGTTCAGTATTGCCCTGAGTTTATCTTTGAATTCTTTACTCAATTAGTTTCAAAATACTCAACAGTTCAAGAAAATGTTGAAATTGTTCTCAGATTTATCATGCTTTTAACAGAACAGAGTACACATATGCTCAAGAAGATCCTCCCGCAAGCCCACGATCTAGTTATAAAGCAAGTTGACTACATTTTGAAGATTTTGGAAACAAACCGCCAGAATCAAAATCCTGAGTTCATGAACAACATTTATGAGGTTCTGAAAACAACGATCATTTCATTTTTCACTGAATTTCAGAATGACGATCAAATATTTTTAATTAAGAAGCTGATGACGTTTGATAACACTCCATCAACCATGTCAAATACATTTTTCATCCTTTTAACCATTATGTACAACATAGATATTATTGATCCGAAATGTTGGGGAGAAATCGTTCAGAATCTCAAGTCTGAGCTTCTCGTTAATACAATGTGCATATTTACCGCATATTTGGCGCTCTGTAATGCTCCAACTCTGTTACAATTTTCAATATCAGATTTATCTCAAGCTTGCAAGACAGCTATGCCATACATCACATGGAATAGATATAAGGTAATGAGTATTGATGTCTCCCAACTCAATCAAGAAAAGAAAATCGATAGTTTCTTCAAATCTTACGCAAGGGATCTTCTTTATAAGAAATATTGCGATCATTTCGTAAATATGAATATTAATGTCCAAGTTCTTAAGAATTCAATGCCAACTGAAAAGATTTTAGAATTTACTCATTTAATCCGAGATACTTTTTCATTTAGCCCCAATATCTATATTTCTTACATCAATGCTATCGTGAATATTGCGATAAACCTTCCTTACAACCTTCAGTTCAACAAAACTTTTGTATTCTCTGAATATTTGAACTTTTTGAGGAAGATGCTTATTGATAAAGATCCTTCTGCTGTTGTTAGATCAACAACAATCATTGGAGATCTCCTTTCTTCTCCTGTTTCAAATTCTATTTTATCCAACTCTGTCCTTGCAGAAATTTACGAGCAATTGATGATCAATGCAAAGAGTGATGTTGATTTCATCAAATCATCAGCATATTTTGCAATGATTAAGTTTCTAAATTCTGGATTAAGATATTCTTCCTATTTGACATCATCAATCCTCGAATCCTTCGATGCATCAAACACAAATGAACAATACCAACATGTTTGCTCATTTGCTGGCTCTGCAAAAACACTTTTGGTGCATTCATCTTCAGAATTGAAGCCAAATATTGAATCTTCCATCACTTTATTGACTGAATCCCTCTCAAACCCATCAAAAGTCCAAGTTTTACTCTCAATTTTGATAGAAGAAGCGATTAATAACAGAAAAGAGATAATTACAAGCGTAGTTACCCAATTACTTAACTCCCTTCAGAACAGAAATGTCTCTGATGCCATTGTTTTCTCCCAAATCATCCACATTTTGCCGAATTTGATCCAAGATTCGCCAAACGTAATACCAATGATAATTACGGCTTCGGTATCGCTCTTGGAGCACAAGACAAGAGATTTTCCACAGTTCTCTTTCTTAATGGCTCGAATTATCATTGATATTTTGCTAAATTTGGCTCAATTCATGGACGTTCGCGCATTTGCAGATAAAGTTCGTATTATTATTGAGCAATGGAATACATCCGAAGAGAAGAAACTTCCTGTTGAATACCTCGAACGAGTAAATGATCAAATTTTCATTTTGGAGATGCTTATGCGGAGAATTCCTCTTCAGTCCTATGAAAACCCTCCACAGATACAAGGAAATCTCGTGGCATTTTACAAAGATAATGAAATTTTGAAGTTAAATGAAACCGAAATTTCCTCTACAACTTACGCAGGAAGATATAACTGGAAGTATGAGATCATTGGTCATGAAATACCTCCGAATATCACGTCAAATTCGGACAAACTTCCTCCAATTTCTTCAATTGACAAAAAAGAGTTCAGTAACTCAATACAGAGCGAAATTTCCTCTCTATTTAACAACGACCTCCCTAGGTTAGGAATTACAACCCCTCTTTCCACTCCAGAAAACGTCAAAATCGAAAAAACTCAAATTGATACTTCAAAATTAACTGACCAAACACCAGAAAATCACTACCAGGTAGATCCAAGTAATTATATACACCATTCTGCCCAGTTTATGACTGCTCTTGGCTACTACAAAGTAGGACAACAAGAAATGATTTCTCCATCAACACAAACATCCATTCCTGAAGTTGATGACCTTCAATATCTTCGTGTAACAACTGTTTCCCTCGTTTCTTTCGGCGATCATCCTCAATTTGAAGAACTTGTATCGAATCTTGGTCTCAAATCAACGGATAACAGCATTATTTATGCAAATCACCGTAGAAAACTTATTTTTGTACGTGAAAATGAAGCAATTTCCAATAATGTTGCTGTCATATGGAAAGAAGATGCCATCGAAAGCAAAATTGCGGAGACTTGCAAGCCAGAAGTCAACATAAGATTGGTTATTTCGCCATTAGAGAATGGATTAATTAGATTAGAAGTTGGAATCAATAAAAATATCGAATTGAAGAAACCATTGCTGAATTCGATCATTGTTTCCAAACAGGCTCTTCCTATTCATGTCATTTCCCAGATAATTTCAACCACTGAAATTATTGACGCTGATAATGGAAAAGATATTGATCCAATCCTCCAAGCAAGGAATTCTATCAAGAAAACTAAGGAATCTCTCACATCTCCATATTCAGAAGTCCTTTATGCGACAAAAGAATTGTTGAAGAATTGTAAATAAAGAATTTTTATTACCATTTTTTGTTATAAATATTAAGATTTTTCAACTAAATTTTGAATTCATTTAAATCATATTTTGAATAAAAAATTATCTAAAAGATATTATTCTTTGGAGTCGATAAACAATATTCTTATGAGTCATATAGTTAATTGCTTAGTTCCTTTAATATTGACTTTAATAATGGAATTGAATGTCAAGATATCAAACCATAGTTATGGCACTATAAGTTTACAATCAAAGAGAATAAACTACATTTGTGCTTAAAATGGAAAAATTGAAGAAATAATGACAAATTATCGAAATTGGAAAAATCGCGGAAATTTGTTTTGGAAAAAAAAATTTTATAATGAACAAGTAAGTGTGTCACTAGTATAAGATTTATATGAACAATATTTAGTATTAATGATGTAAAATTCCAGTAAATTTCTAATTGTTTCTTGACTCTAACCGTTTAGTTTTTTTTACCTCAATCAAAAAAAATGACAAGTTCGGTGAACTAAAAAAGTGAACTTGCTTCTTCTCATTACTCGACAAATCACTATAACTGAACTATTTCTATCGTGAAAGGACACAAAAAAACTAAATTTTTGAAAAATTTACGGCGGTTTTGGCTATGGTCATTTTTTCTTATGTCAGCACCAAAGGAAGAAACAGTTGCCGAGCAACCAAAGGCCGAGGAGGCACCAAAGGCTGAAGAGGGAAAGGATGCTAAGCCAGCTTCTAAATTCTCCCTTGGCTCAAAGTTTGGAGGTCATTCTTTCGGAAAAATTACACCAAAGCCAGTTGCCGATAAAGCATCCGCAACTGCTGCTAAGGAAGAGGCTGTCGATGATAGCCATACAGAAGCACCATCCTCAGCTGCTGAGCAAGCTGATCCAGACTCAGATGAGGATGCCCTCTTCAACGACAGAGCAATGCTTTACCGTTTCGATAAAAATAACAACGAATGGAAGGAGCGCGGTGTTGGTTTCATGAAGATTCTTCAGAACAAGGAAACAAAGATGTGCCGTATTCTTATGCGCCGTAATCAGACATTTAAGGTTTGCGCTAACCACTTCATTCTCCCACATATGGAACTCAAGCTTAACCAAGGCTCTGATCGTGCTTATATGTGGAACGCTGTAGATTTCGCTGATGGTCCAGATACACCATCCCATGATGTTCTCTCTGTTAAGTTTAGAAATGCTGAAACTGCTAACGCTTTCAAGAAGGCCTTCGAGGAAGGTAGAACACAGAATGCTCAACTTCTCAAGGAAAAGGAAGCTAAGGAAGAGAAGAAGGAGTAAATATAACTTTTAAACGTTTTTATTTCAAGATGAATATGATTAAAAAAACTTTTACATTTTTTTCCAACCAAAAAAAAAATCCAGAATATTTCATCTCAAATTTTTCTCAAAATTTTTCATTAAGATTATGAAATCTATAACACATTTCATGTACACATTTAATTTTACATCGAATAAACTAGTTTGGTCATAATTTTTCAAATCGATATTGAATCGTTATGGGTAAATTCATGATTTTTACTTTAAAAATCGCTTAATTTTCTTATATAACTGATGAATTTTTAGGTAAAATCAACAAAAAAAAAGATTTATTTGAAATTTTTTTTTATTCCGAGAGATAACATTTAGTCATTAGGCTTTGTAAAGATTGATTTAAGTAATTTTAAATCATAAAATGCAAAGTTTATAAGAGCTAAAAGATTTTTGGAGAAAATTAATTTCAAGGTATTCGCCAAATAGAATTTCCAAAAAAGATGTCGGAATTAGAACAAGCTAAAGTTCTGTTGGTTCTGTTGTGGGCGGTTAGCTGGCTGTCCAAAGCCCTGGTTAGCGGGTTGACCAAATCCTTGGTTAGCTGGCTGTCCGAATCCGCCGGCTGGTTGGCCGAATCCAGTATTAGCTGGTTGGCCGAAACCTGTGTTAGCTGGTTGACCGAAACCACCTGCTGGTTGACCAAATCCTTGGTTAGCTGGACGAGCTGGCTGTCCGAATCCAGTATTAGCTGGCTGACCGAAGCCTGTGTTTGCTGGTTGGCCAAATCCACTGGCTGGCTGTCCAAATCCTTGGTTAGCTGGCTGTCCGAAGCCTGTGTTAGCTGGTTGACCGAATCCACCTGCTGGTTGACCAAATCCTTGGTTAGCTGGACGAGCTGGCTGACCGAAGCCTGTGTTTGCTGGTTGGCCAAATCCACCGGCTGGTTGTCCAAAGCCCTGGTTAGCTGGCTGACCGAAGCCTGTGTTAGCTGGTTGACCAAATCCACCTGCTGGCTGACCGAATCCGCCATTAGCTGGCTGGCCGAAGCCTGTGTTGGCTGGGCGAGCTGGCTGGCCAAATGTCTGCTGAGCGCTGCCTCCGAACATAGCGGCATTATTCTGCTTTGGCTGAGCTGGAGCTGGTCCCATCATGTCGAGAAGAGACTTGATGTCGTTACGGTTATTCTGTTGTTGGACCTGCTGTGGTGGAGCTGGGCCGAGTAAATCATCGAGAGCATTCTTTGGCTGAGCTGGTTGAGCAGCTGGAGCAGCAGCTGGCTGGCCACCGAATGGGGACCATGCCTGCTGAGCTGGAGCAGCAGCTGGTTGAGGAGCTGGAGTGCCGAATCCGAAGATATCCTGCTGTGGAGCCTGTTGAGCTGGCTGTGGTGCTGGAGACTGAGCAGCTGGTTGAGGAGCTGGGGCGGCCTCCATAGCAGCCTTCTTGGAATACCAAAGCTTGTCAACGTATTTACGCTTGAGGAAGTTGTTACGAGAATTGTAATTGGCATCATCTCTGATTGGGAAAGGATCTTCTGAAGCCTTCCACTTAGCCATCCAAACTCTGTTGAATTCATCATTGTTTGTTGCCTGAAGTTTCTGAATTTCTTCTGGTGTGAATGTAGCCATTGAAACTGATTTAATACGGAAGCCGAATTCACGGTGAATGCCTGAGCAAATTGAGCATAAGAAAATAGCGTTTGTTGTGTCGACTTGAACTGCACATTGTTCTCCGCAATCAGCGCACTTCTTGTTTGAAGGGAGTTTCATGAGGTTGCGGAGGATTTTCTGATGCTGCTTCTGTACAGCGGACGATGACATAATTGGCTGAATGACTTTTTCAGTTAGCCCAAGATTGAGACAAATTCCGACGGTTTGACAATATAATTTATCGTGCATTTCCCTTTAAAAATATCTCATTGAAAACATATTCTTAAATAGATAATCGGAGACTTATTAAAATTATTGCAATTTCCTTATCGGAATGTTTTCGCAATGTAAAAAAAAATTTATTGCGATCTCATTTTTGATCAAAAAATCATAATATCATTGTATTTAGGCTTCAATAACATGATCAACCATATCTAACGAAGCTTAATGCAGGTTATTAAAACTTTCTAACGCTAACATGTAAGAAATTACCAAATATTTAAACAGGTTTATGTTATTACGGAATGTTAACATATTATATCTCATTTTTGGATTCTACCCTCGTGTTTTGTTCGACTTATTATCATCAACGTATGTCCTTACCTTTAAAATATCAAAGATAATTTTATAACCCTACTCTGTAAATCTGTTATATGTGATGTTTATTTCTTCACATTACGTATGATCATGAATTACTTGCTGTCATTATAAAATAACGAGATTTTACCTCTATAAATTTGATTTGAAATTTTTTTTAAGATATTAGTTTCCATTATAGGATATTTTGAATATAAACATAGAGAACATTTTATTAATAGTTTGTAAAGGAATGTTAACAACAAAAAATAAACAAACAAAATAATTTCTAGAAAGGTAGTGAATCTGAATTTAAATCAATCTTAGATGCTACAATTATTTCTTCTTTAGTATGATTTAGCTTCCTTCTTGGGAATTTAGATGTAATTTTCAATGTTTTCTCATATTTAATGAGACTCTTTTTCAGGTATTTAATTATTCCTGTTAGTATTAATGAATATATTAATGCAGAAGAAACTAGACAATGGTATTGAAATAGTGGCTTAATTTTACGCTGTAAGTATCCATTAAACGATTCTGTAACATTTGATTCGAATGGACAATCTAATATTATGTAAATTTGATTGAATGAAGCTGGATTAGTTGTTGATGAATTAATTAAATTAGTAAATTGTTGAGAATAACTATTGTACTTGTTATTGTTTAGCATGACATAAGGTAATATTATAGTTAGGAGTAAAATTATTGGCGATAAATCATATATAAACCCGAAGAACTTATTTCTTGAAAAAATTTTAACAACAATTGATATAAATGCTAATAACATGATGAATGGACTTAATGAAAGCTTCGTTACTATGCTATTGAAATTTAATATTTTCCATATTTTGCTTCTAACTTCGATCATTATCAGAAACTGCACAATAATCGAAATTATAAACAAAACTATAGTAATCGCAGAAGTAAAATCGTATACTCTGTGATACTTTTCATAATATTTCATATTTGATGTAAACTATTCAAACTGAATTTCCTGATTATAATCACACTTGATGGATTTCAAGATTTATCACATCAAAGAAGAAACTGTTTAACGCTTAAAACTCATACTCTTTTGCGTGTGGCATACAGTTACTAATATCATTTCAATTTGTTCTTTTTGTATCGGAATATGATATTTCAGCAATTATATATGATTTTTGGATATGAAACCAAACATACTGATCTCATTGACATTGATGAGATCATTTTATTAGTCCAGAAACTTATATTAAAATAAAATTTGAGTAATTTTCAATTCATTAAACATCAATCTGGGAAAAAAAATATTGCTTATCTAATAACTAATCATTGAACCTCACAGATTTGATTCTATGTGCGCACAATAAATTTATATAAAAATTATATTATTCAATACTTAAATTTATAGGTGTATGAAGATATATTTTCGTATTACAACGGAAAGTAAATAAATTGTTAAGTATTGAATCGAATAAAGGGAGATTAATAAAAATTTTGAAATATTTTTGCTTTGGAATGTTCCTTATTCTACTTTTGATAACTACTAATGATAGCAAATGAGTTCTTATATCGATACATGAGCATACTGGAGAGTCAATCATATGAAAATTTATCTGAGAAGTTCCTTTGCTCATTTTATGTTTTGGATGAATGCATATACCAATACAATAATACTCCTCAAGTCCAAAGGCTCAATTTGGAGATAACAACTATCAGATCAATCTGGTTATGAAGAAACTGCCTCTATAACTTAGATTTTAGTTCATCATATTACATGTAATTAGTTTGTGCATGATTACGATTCATGTCATCTTGTTCAAAATGAAATGAATGTGACCAACGCCAAAAATAATGAAAATATGATCGTAATGTGCCGTATTTCGATTCTATCATTGATTGATAGAATGCAAGAATGGCCATTCGATATGTCAAAATAAAATTCAGTAAAAAAAAGATGTAAAATTTTTTTTATTTTCGAAATTCCTGCAACACAATCTCACTGTTGTTATATTTATATATTTGTTGACTGAAATGGTTCCTACCGCTTCAAAAAGTAGAATATGAAGTCACATCAAGGCCAGGACAATTTACATCGTAAACAATACAAATCGTTGCATTTTCAAAATATTTTGCTGGATTTATTTTTATGGATATATTCTGGAAGAAATTCAGTTTTGTCCATATTTGAATTCCTCTCAAAATATAAAATCCCTTTCAAAAAGAGATTGAAAGAAGGGCAAATTAAAGTGACTTCATTTTTCGTCTAATGGCTGAAGAAGACGTTCAGACTCTCGTTATCGATAACGGCTCTGGTATGTGCAAGGCTGGCTTCTCTGGTGATGAAGCCCCACGCTCAGTTTTCCCATCCGTTGTCGGCCGTCCAAAATACAAACAACAATTAGTTGGTGGCAATGCTAAGGATGTTTTCGTTGGTGATGAAGCTTGCTCCAAGGCTGGTGTCCTCATCCTCAAGTACCCAATTGAACACGGTATCGTCAACAACTGGGATGATATGGAAAAGATCTGGCACCATACATTCTACAACGAACTTCGTGTTGACCCAACAGAGCACCCAGTTCTTCTTACAGAAGCCCCACTTAACCCAAAGGCTAACCGTGAGAAAATGATCTCCCTCATGTTTGACACATTCAACGTCCCATCCTTCTATGTCGGCATCCAGGCCGTTCTTTCCCTCTACTCCTCTGGCCGTACAACAGGTATCGTTTTCGATGCTGGTGATGGTGTTTCCCACACAGTTCCAATTTACGAAGGCTACTCCCTTCCACACGCCATCATGAGACTTAACCTCGCTGGCCGTGATCTCACAGCCTGGATGGTCAAGCTTCTCACAGAGCGTGGCAATGCTTTCAACACAACAGCCGAAAAGGAAATCGTTCGTGACATCAAGGAGAAGCTTTGCTATGTCGCCCTCGACTTCGATGCTGAAATGGAGAAGGCCGCTACAGATTCCTCCATCAACGTTAACTACACACTTCCAGATGGCAACGTCATCACAATCGGCAATGAGCGTTTCCGCTGCCCAGAAATGCTCTTCAAGCCATACTTCGATGGTATGGAATACGATGGTATCGACAAGACACTCTTCGACTCCATCATGAAGTGCGATATCGATGTTCGTAAGGATCTCTACGCTAACATCGTTCTTTCTGGTGGCACAACAATGTTCAAGGGCATCGCTGAACGTCTTGACAAGGAAATCACAGCTCTTGCTCCACCAACAATGAAGGTCAAGATCGTCGCCCCAGAAGAGCGTAAGTACGCCGTTTGGGTCGGTGGCTCCATCCTTGCTTCCCTCGCTACATTCCCACAGATGGTTATCACCAAGGAGGAATACGACGAGGCTGGCCCATCCATCGTCCACCGCAAGTGCTTCTAAAACAATTTGAAATGTTTCAGATTCCAAAATTTCTAATTTTTTTAACTTTTTTTACTCTTTTTACAACATCTTTATCAATCTACGCCTTATATAATTCCTTGATATACCTAACTTTCCTCTTCTAAACAAGAATATGCAATGAATTTGTAGATTTCGGATTATCATTGAGATTTTTGATAACAATTATTTCAAATCACTGTGTATTTTTGTGTTGATTACTGATTGCGGTGTGTATCCGATCTGAAATTAATGTCTTTGTATTCCAAAATTTTTTCAAATTCTGAAATACCTGTACAACTTACTAGAAAAAGGAAGTTAAAAAATTGTTTTTGTAAAAATTTGGAAATATGGAAACTTGTTTTGCAAAAATAGAAATTTAGATAAGAGTTAATAAATTAACTAATCGACAAATTAATTTTATTTTAGAATAAAAATATTTATGACATTAAATTGTTCGGGAAAAACGAAGTTCTGAGAAAAATCTATATTTAAAAAAATTTTTCTTTAAAATGCTATATTTTAAACCACTTCAGTGCTAATGTTTATTTATAAGAACGCATGCTGTATCTTAGAACCTTGGATACTAGTCATCTTAATTTTTTTGTGTATTAACGGATTCAGTATCAATTGATGCATTTGTAAATCGTACGTTGCATCTACACATGGATAGTTCACATAGCTGTGATATTAAAATTATTCGTTCATATGTATTGAAAGATTTTATTGGTAAGAAATCCCTGATATTCAGATTTCTTCTGGTTAGCGTTATGGTCAATCTCGTTACATCACAAAACTATGTAGTTGCATGAATAAATTTTTAAAACAGTGATTTCGAATCGGTTGTTTGACAATTTTTATGGACAAGGACTTTATTTCTAAGTTATACATCAAAATTTTAAGCCGATCGTATGGATCATAAAAAGAGCAATGAAACTGTAAATTATTTCTCTTCGAATATCGGATTGTTTAAAAGACCAAGAAGATTTTGATAGGAAAGATGTCAGAAATAATAAGCAATAGAAGTTGAATTGTATAATGCGTAGTGTATCAAATTGTTCAAATTAATTCTTTTGTTATTCATTGCAATGAGAATTGATCTTCACCATACTGCAAATAGAAGATAATTATCTACTTGATTTAAGCTTTATGACGGACGATGCAAATGCAAAACTTGTCTTTGGAAAATTCAGCGAATGTTATTATCATATATAATATCTTCATTCAATTTTGAGAGATTTTTTGCATTGCAAATCCATGGATAAATATTTTCCCAAGCCGATGAGAACATTATCCGTATTTATGATCGAAGAAAAGAAAAAATTCATTTAAAATTTAACTAATAAGAGAATGATTTAGAGGTTAGAAGCAATAAATTCCCAGTTAACATGGTCCCAGAAGTTCTTGAAGTATTCGGCCTTGCGGTTCTCGTAGTCGATGTACCAGGCGTGCTCCCATGTATCGACTGTGAGGACTGGCTTGTGGCCATCCTTGACTGGGTTAGCAGCGTTGGAGTACTGGCCGATTTCGAGCTTGCCCTCCTTGTTCTTGTAGAGGTAGCACCAGCCGGAGCCGAAGACTGTGGAAGCCTTGGCTGTGAATGTCTCCTGGAACTTCTCGACGGAGCCGAATTCCTTTGTAAGGGCATCAGCAACCTTAGCTGGAACAGCGACCTTCTCGGCGGAGAGGCACTTCCAGAAGAAGGAGTGGTTGAAGTGCTGGGCAACGTTGTTGAAGAGTGGGCCCTGAGCCTTCTGGATGACCTCTTCGATGGACTTGCCCTCGAGGCCGGAGCCGACGATGAGCTTGTTAGCTGTGTCAATGTAAGCCTGGTGGTGCTTTGTGACGTGGATCTCAACAGCGTGCTGTGTGAGGAAGCCTGGAAGACCAGTCTTCAAGTAGGCAGGATGCTCCATTGTGAACATTTGTTCTAAAGTGAGGTGACTATTTGTTTTGTAAAAATTCAATCATAAACTTCTCAATTGATAAAAACCACTCAAAATTTACTGTGTATTCAAAATCAATGCATTCAAAAAATATTCATTAAAATAGGCCGGTGATTTTCGTTGTTATTTATTGTTGTTTACATGTTATCTGGATATTATTCTTTTAATTGGTCGGTTACATAAAATTTTTTCGGCAAAAATAATTTTTGAGCGATAGAAAAATTCGATTAAATCCTTTAGAAATGATTGTAATACACCAGAGATGAAATTAAATAAAAACCTCAATTAGATTTGAAGATGAATTTTGTGTTAATCATTCGCATGTTAACTCAGCACTAGATAATGCTTTGAGTGTACCAAATGAAAGTATTGCATTCCCTTTAATTTTAACTCACATTTTACAAATTTGATATCAGCAGTTTATTAATATCACGGTTTTTAATGCAATAATTAAATTCGTTTATTACAGACTTTCTAATAAACTTCAAGCTACTTGCATTTATTCAGGTTTATCGCTTGATATGATCATAAAATCATTTTTTCATACAGATATTTTCATCTATCGTGAGAGAACTTTGTTGGAAAACATTTGATCATTATATTCCTAATCATCAAATTAATAATTTCCCATTTTCCAAAAAAAAATTTCATAAATTATGAATGGATTAATTCTATTGAAGTTTTTATTTATCTTTCAAGTATACAATATAGTTTTTTATATTTAAAAACAAATCATTTAACTACATTTTCAGTGCCAGCGTATTTTCTTAAGAAATCTTGAAAACCACCCTTTAAGTATGAAATCTGTACGAGTGGTTTAACTTCCAACTCGTTTATGTATCTATTTGCAGCGTTAGCTGCCTTTACACTTCTTTGTTGGCCATATTGACAATAGAACACTAAAGTGCTAATGCCATCTTTAGCACAGTCATTAACAAGCTTTTCTATGTTATTTCCAACGAGTCTCGAAGAAGGAATATTAATCGCTGTTTTAATATGGCCTCCGTCATTATAATCTGCATCACGGCAGTCAACTATCATCATTTGGCAGTTAGTGCCAAAGGATCCTACTATCTGTGCTGGTGTAACTGTTGTAACACAGCGTTCTGACATCAGATTTTGTCACTTTTAGGAATAAATCTTCATTTCTTGAGAGTTTAGACTTATAGAGTGAAATTATCAATAAATCGAATCATAGAATATCAATACTATTGCATAAGAGTTCCTGATATCTGAAAAGAAATGTAACTCTTCAAAGTTTTTTTCTGAAATAATTTTGTTGTTCAAGAAAAGGTTGAAATGAACTACTAATTTTAACACTATCATAACGTATACTCAAAAGACATACCAATCATCATAATTAAGATCGTTTATCAGCTTTTCACCGTTATTCAGAAATTTTCTCAATCCAAATACACAACGTGTAGTTATGGCAGCTGATTTTAATTTTCAGGTTTTCAGAAATTATCGGGCAGCCAAAGCGGATCTCAAATCTCTGAAAAATTTCTTTTGGAGAATTTGAAAACTGTTTTTTGCTGTGTCAAATTCAAGATTCCATAAAATCCTAAGTAAACATGAGTGAACAAACCGATACCGAACACTACATTGTGCAGGAAAACGAATCACTATCATCCATTGCTACCAAGCTTGACATTACGCTCTTAAATATCAAAACTTTAAATCCAAATGTTAAAGTGGCTATTCCAGGAATGATATTAAATGTCAAACCAATCAAAGAATTACCACACCTACATCCAATTGATTCACAAATTTTCTCGAGGGCTCCTCCTATTGACGGAGATCTTTATTTAGATGAAACACAGATCAGATTTCAGCCAAGAGGAAAGCGTGAAAAACCCATTTTGATTGATTTGATTGGTTATGTTGATGCAACTATCACTCCTCACCCTTGCGATTTTTACGATGATGTCGATGAAGTCTTACCTGATGATTTTTTGGCATTGTTGCATGTCAATTATCTTTCAATACCAAGTGATCCAACGTCTATGGAGATCATTGAGTTCGCAGGGCTTCACGAAGAACTTAGAGATTTCAAAACTGTTTTACAACAACGATCCACGGCTATCCAAGTAAAGAGCCATTATACTAGACCATTGATGTCAACGTACATCAAGCCTGTTGAAGAAACAAAGCGCAGAGTCTCAGATTTCTGTTTGGAATTCGAAGGATTGCCAGATCCAAGCAAAATCATGACTCCTACCGAAATGGGCCAACTTAACAATAGTTTACCTAAAAGATTACGTAAATTGGAGTGGCATTTAGTTTATCGACTTTCTGACGACGGAAGTTCATACAACGAGTTCATGACAAAGACAAGAGGATTAGACCAATGCGTACTCGTCATGAAAACAGACGGTGACAGCATTATTGGCTGTTATTCATCTGCTGGTTTTGATCCGAAAAAGGCTTACGCTGCAAATGGCGAAACTTACGTTTTTAGCTTCTTCCCATCGTTTGTGGCCTACAGATGGTCGAAGACAGTCAATTATTTCGTAAATGTAGATAAAACGAACTTATCAATCGGCGGAGGCGGCAGCGCTGCCATTTGGCTTGACGACAGAATGTTACATGGCTTCTCCGAGAAGTGTGATGCCTTCAACAACCCTCCTCTCGCTTCTGATGTCGATATCAAATGCATGAATTTGGAAGTTTGGCACATATCATATAAATAAAATGTTTGTAAAATTTCTATTATAAATTAATATCTTTTTCTTGATCGCATTCTAAAAATACAAAAAAATTTCAATGATTTCAGTTTTAGGCTCAAAAATCATTATCATTTGAAAATAAAACAGTAAAAATTTATAATAAATTGACAAACAAACAAAAAGAAAAATTATATATCATTTTATACCATTTCCGACGAGTTTAAGGATGCATGACTCTCTGTCATCTTGATTGACAATTTCAACGCATTCTTCAAACTGCGATTGGAATGATGGTGTAAATTCTAAATTAATTTCAACAATTGCTAAAGGAGAAAGCGAGATATACTTATCGTAATCAAACACAGACTCTCTAACATGTGATTTCTTAAAACTCTTAATAAACAAATCAATCTTCTTCCCTGTCAAATTCGTGATTTGAAATTCCGAAATTTTCTTTTTGAGAACTTTACAAACACCAAAATCAACGATATTCGAACTGATCGAGAAAGATTTCAGGTTTGAAATACTTATTGTCTTAAAGGATACTGGAACTCTTATCCTATCATTCTGAGTAATGATCTCTATTTCAGAATCAATCTGTTTTTGGCAAAAAACTTGCAAATTCAACTCAGAATAACTTTCTATGAATCCTTTTTGATTAGAAAGCTTTACATCAGATACACATTTAGCTTCAAAGTATACTCTGTTCTGAGAGGTGTTGATTAATGTCAAATTACTAGTTTTGTTTGGATTCATCACTAAATTTGTTGGAGAAACAAGAATTGTTGATAAATTATCATTTTGCCTCGTAAACAAAGTCAACTCATTGACAAAAACCATATCCTTGAAAATCTTATTGAAATATTTTTTGTCAAAATTCAAAATTTTCTTGGAAAATTTGCCAAGTTCATCGTCTATTTGTAAACCTTTGAAAATTTCGCTAAAGAAACAATTTGGATTTAGCAAAGCTTTGATTTGCCGAATGATTTCATCACCTGTATACAATAAAATGGGAATGTCAAACTCTTTGGTATTTTTATCTGTCACTTTTACGATAAAAGTGAATTTGAGGGAAGAAAATTTTTTGATAACAGCAGAAGACTGACTTATATTGATATCGTAGCCAGGATGCTCATCAAGAGCAGTTAATATGCAAAACATCGATCTGTCACCTTCATTTGTGATTTCTATCTCTCCTTCATACTGATCTTCTCCTGAATAGAACAATTCGACCTTTTCTTCAGCTCTAACACTTGATTTTCCTTTGTATGCTAAGATAGGTATCTCTTTGAGGTTTTCTGAACAAACAATAATTCTAGATAAACAAATTTCTCTTTGAAAATCTCTGCAATTAACAGAAAACTCTTCATTTGGCTCGATAGAGCTCGGAAACTCAAGCCATTTTGGTCCTTTAACCGTAAAATTGCCGTTTGATTTAATTATAATCGGAATTGCGTTTGAATTTTGATCTACTGCTGGAATTATAATCATTTCTGGACTTATATCGATTTTTGAAGCTAAATGTTCAGTTTCATATTGATTTTTGTACTTTTTTACGTCAAATGTAATTATTTGTTTAATTCCGTTGTATTTTGCAATCAAAAGCCCTTTCTCTGCTTTATTAGATGTGATATTTAAGTCCAGTTTTGTAATTCCTTTTGGATCTATCTCAAAAATTGAATTATTTAATTTAATTTCTTTCGAGAGCGATTTCAGAGTAAGTTTCAATGCTTTTTCTGTTGTATTAGATATAATGAATCTCTTCGAGTCAAATTCTATTTGAGATTTAACGGATTTACCCAATAATAATAAAGAAATTTCTCCCAATTCAATTTCTTGAGAAAACTGACCTTCTTCGGTCGGATGAAATGAAAAAATATAAACTCCTGATACAACTGTGTAATTAAACGGATATTGTAGATTTAATTGAGATTTTTCATCGATTTTCATTTTGCATTCTTTGTAAAATGTTGTACCCGTTGCAATTGTGCCGAAGTTTATTGTTAATTTTGATTTTGATTTTTGAAGTGTCAAAATTCTGGAAATTTTAATGCCAAATTTCTGGCAAACGAGTGTTATTTCAGGCTCATTGTCTATAGGATATCTTTCATCGTATTGTATCGTTAGTTTGGCTATCGAAGTCGGTGGAATTTCAATAATATTTTTTGATAATTTAAAAGCAGCAGAATTTGAAGAAATTACTATTCTGCAGTAATCAGAGTAATGCCTATTTGCGATTTCGAATGTTGAAGACATTTTTGTTGGATTATTGAATTTCCAACAAGAATCTGATTGTTCTGGTATATTTATTGGTGACATCTCACACTCACCATATATAGGGATTATGAATTCATGGATGCCGACATTAGTTATCTTAGAATTGTGATGTCCAACTTCTTTTGGCTGATAAGTGACTGTTACTACTGCTGATTCTCCTGATTTAACAACTATACTTGATGGGTCAATTGAAAAAATAGAACTATTACTTAAACAAAAAGATAACGACTCATCAAATTGATTTGAGTTAGTAAAAATCAGTTTTTTTGATGTCTGCGTATATGGAAAACACGGTCCGAATTTGATACTCCGAGGGAAAAATGTAATTGGCTCTATTTGCAGTTTATTTGAACTAGAATTCAGACTTTGGTAATAGTTTATTGAATTATCATCGATAAATAAGGATCCATCACGAGATCTTAAGAGATCTTCACTAGATGTATCCATTCAAATTTATCAGTTGATGAATCAACAATTTGTTTTTTTGGATTTTTGTCAACAGAAATCAATTTAAATTCGAAAAATCAAATCATTATTGGGTTTATATTATTATTTAAGAATTAATAATCCGAAAGGTTTTGATCTTGTGATTGTTGTTTGTTCTTGTTGGTTGCTAGAGAGTCCATCAGATTTATGATAAGCTTTAGAATCAAATTTCAAATCATTCGGATCCAATCACGATGATAATTTCTAAGATTTACTATCAAATACCGATTATTTTAGATAAATCAAATGTCAAAGAAGCATTCTATTATATTTTCCGGTTTTTTTCTTCCAGGAAAAGCACGTTCGTAAAATTCCGATAATTCAATAAATCTATCCTAAAATTCCACAAGATCATTATTTAATTCACAAAAAGATTACCATTTTATTTTTTCATTCCATTGAATTTTTTTTTTCATCTAAAAAAAATGTGTGAGAGGCCTACCACACGAATACGTGTGGAAGGCTTTGATGAACAGACTTCAGAGCAATCTATCAAGCAAAAATTCAACACCTACGGTGTCATTTTGTCTGTAACTAAAGACAAAAAAGCATTTATCATCGAATTTGCAACAGTCGAAGCAGCCTGTGCAGCAAAACAAAAGGCAAATGGTCTACCGATCTCCTGTCAACAGACTGCTACAATATTCTTCGATTATCCAAATATGCCCGATTTTCTTGCGATTCAAAATTGCAAAGAGGAGAAATTACCTGAATACAAATCATATCTCAAAACAATTCCAGAATTTGATGAGATGATACCTTTTCGGACAGATAAAGGATTTACTTCGCTTGTTATTGCGACTTTTTCGGAACAAGTCGATTTCGACAAATTAATACAAAACATTAAAGAGAAATTCCCTACAGAACCTACCGCGTACGAAAAAGTTCCTTATTGCAATTTAAGCAACGATTCACTCCATCAGATCGCCAGAAGCTTTGAGGAGAGAAGTATCTTCATGAACAACCTTAACCACAGAATACCAGAAGAGAAAATCACAGAAATTTACTCAAAATACGGAAAAGTGATATATGTCGATATCTCTTTCAAATATGAAGTCTACATAATAACCATTTTGATGGACACCAAGGAGAACGCTCAAAAAGCTATAGAGGAGCTCGACAAAACTGTTTTTGTCGAAGATGAACTTCCTCTTCGAGTTTTTCCTTTTATTGAGAAAACAATTTACCATAAACCTGCTGGTATCATTTCCGTTAACGAACTCGAGTACAATTTCGATACAAAACAACTTTATACAACATTTAAACAATGGGGCGAAATCTACGCTTTTTCCGTCAGCCACGTTGCTTCATCCTTTGTAGCATTGTTTTTATACGCAGACTATCAAAACGCATTGAAAGCTCGCGATAGTTGCAATTATTCCAACGTTTTCGTGTTTCCGAAGATGAATGCTGCGGCCGCTGTTCGACATTTCACTCAAAGGAAGTTCGAACCAGACTTAACTCTCGTAACTTTTGACAATGAAAATATACCAAACTTATTTCTTCGATCTGAGTACGAAAACGTCCAAGATTTCCATACATTCACTAATGGGAACAACAAAACCGTTGTTGTTACGTTCAAATGTTGCCAAGATTTACAAAATACGATAAATAAAATTCACAAGCGCTACGAGATCATCGGATCTTCCACATTCAACCGCGTATTTGAATACTTTAAGACGCAACCCATTGATTCCGTCTGGGCGAAAAGAATTTTTTATGCTCGGGGAATTAATTCAGATTTATCGAATAAAGTTCTTAGAGAGAAGTTTTCGAACATTGCGCCTGTTGATAGTATCGTTAATCTTGGCAAAGAGAACATTGCTTTGGTGTTATTCAAGAGATCAGTTGATGCGAACAATAAAGAGTTTCTAACCATTCTACCAAACCAAGTATCGCTTGATGACGTCATAAACTCCATAAATGAGTCATCAAAACCATCAAGAACTCAATCTTGGAGCGCAATTAACCCAAATTTCCTTCCTATCAATTCCATTATAGAGGAAGCAACGAGGAGAGAGCCAACATTAAGGTCAGTGGTCGAGAAACATATTACGAGCATAAATTACGACCAAGTTCTTGAATTATCTCTAGAACCTGCGAAATTGAACTCTTTCTTCAAACAGTTGATATCTGATACATCTTCTAATGCATGCACAAGCAATGCACCCGCTTCTCCTCTCAGCGGACCAAGCAGTACAAAAGGAGATTTGGATCAAACTGATTGACTTATTATTTCTTATTATTTTTTTGTATAATAAATTTTGTTGGTATTTTTAACTAATATTTTTCCTTTTCGGATGCTGAAATATCATAAATAAAAGGATGAACTTCAATATGGCAATTTTAACTGAAGATTGTAGCTGGATACACTATAATATTAGGTATACAGATATTTTTATTCTCCATACTATTGATGATTTACTGTTCCAATAATATAATGATCACAAAAAAGCATTGAACAGAAAATATTGTGTGCATGTATGATAATTGTTTTCATTCATATAAGAATGAAATGCTTATTTTACACTGATTATAACTTAGCTTTTAGTAACACTTCTGATGAAATCATAATATCTGATAATACCCAAAATGTTAAGTGTCGTTTATGAATACATAGGGTTATATAGCACATTCCAGTATTATCTCATGTTTTTGGAAAGATTGAAGATAATTAATATTTTATCGACAAGCATGTCATGAAGCTTTTTGTCAGAATGAAATAAATAAAGTTGAATGATGTGTAGCGTGGATGTATATACTTGCAACAATTCTTTAGGTAAAAAAATCAAATTTGATATAATATAATTTCGGGCTTCAGTTGGCTGGGCTTGCCCTTCGGGCAAGCCCAGCCAACTTCAGCAAAATAAATATATTATGATTATAGGAAATGAGTTTATACAATTAAATTTGAATTTGTGCGATTAATATTATATTTCAAAGATTATTATGCAAAATATATGAGAGATTTTTATATCCATCGAAGTGGTTTAGAGAATACTTTGAGATTTTAGAGATTTTTCGAAAGAAATATTGAAAGCAAAGCATTTATTAAGAAATTGTTGTGAAATGAATACACTTCGATAAGATATTAGATCAGTTTGTTACTTGGCAAAATTAGAGCTGAAGTCATGTTCATAAATGAAGAAAATGTCTTAGCTATAGCAAACGGTTGTAATGTATTTGAAATATCAATAGTTTTATTGTAACCTGATATCAATGCGATCATAGATATTTTTTGAGAAAGTATTTCGGAAATTATGTAATTTGTAAGGATATTGAGGAGCTCTAAAGTTAAAGATTAATTAGGCATGTGATGACAAAGAACTTGTTATAGAGGAAAATCTAGAATTTTAGAATTTTCAAAATTCATCTGTAACCAAATGGGCATATTGTGAATCATTTAAGGTATGATGGAACACCAATGAGGCATTAGATCAATGTGATACATTAGAAGTTTGTGCGGAAAGTCTGATTAAGAAAAGATGAAAATATGAAATGAAAATACAATATTTCTCTCAATTTTTCAAAAACTCTTTGCATATCGTTTGGGAATCGGCGCTTCACGCCGCTAATTATATTTTGAGAACAGCTTTGGTTGTTTGTTCGGCAAACTTATTTCAACGAATTACGATTTGCAATCAGATATAACGTAATGATATCAGATTGATTTTGACTTTTGATAATAAAAAATTATTAAATAATTTGAAAAGTTATTTTCTTCGCTATTTGATTGGCGCTTTGCGCCAATCAAATAGCTCAGATTAATAATATGATATTATTTTAAATATGATGAAAATTTTTGAGTGAAAACTATCAAAACTAAGTCTTAAAAAATAGATATTTAAAAATGTTTTTTGATTGTTACACTACTTATGAAAAAATGTCGATTAATCTTCTATATAAGTAGTATATGAGTGCGGGTTTAGTGACTTTTTTTGTTACATCTATATATAGACGATGCATTAAAATATATTTATTTATAAATCATTAAAGAATTAACATTAATTTTAAAATAATTTATTTTTTTATCTTTTATAAAAGAAGCTATATATAGATGATGTCAGATATTCCGCGATTAATTAAACATTGTTTAAATCCTGAATGGGTTAAACTTCAATTTAAAAATGAAGATTGTGAATTATTAAATGAATATGAAAGCCAAAATAAGCTAATGAGGTATAAATATAATGATAAAGAATATTTAATTTCATGGAATCAATGGAGTCATAATCAAAGACCTCATAAACGAGAAGAAGAAATTGAAAATAATGAAATGGAAATCATTGATGACATTAAAGAGGATGGAATTCAAAAAAAAAAAAAAAAAAAAAAAAAAAAAAAAAAGGAAGTGGGGCTTCCAGGCACTTCGTGCCTTCTAGCCCTGAGGATGATTGGTATAATGAAGTTTTTTTTTCTTGGGGTGGTCTTCCAGGCACTTCGTGCCTTCTAGCCCACATAAATGAAGTTTTTATTCGGAGGTCTTCCAGGAGCTTTTCACAAATTATATATGTTTTCATGTTTTGTCAAGACTTCTTCGTAAATGTTTTGTCAAGACTTCTTCGTAAATGTTTTGTCAAGACTTCTTCGTAAATGTTTTGTCAAGACTTCTTCGTAAATGTTTTGTCAAGACTTCTTCGTAAATGTTTTGTCAAGACTTCTTCGTAATGAGCGTAAATGACCCAAAAATAATGTTTATGTTAGAATGTTAGATCTAACACGTTTTCTAACATGTTTTCTAACATCGTAGAAAACTCATGATTTCATCGTAAATGTTTTGTCAAGACTTCTTCATCGTAAATGTTTTTAACTTCACTTAAAATGCCACGTAAGCTACGTAAGAATATACGTAAGAGGAAGAGAGCATTGAAACATCCAATAGTAAAACTGACACCACAACAACAGTTGCAACAACAAATGCTGAATGACCCCACTATGTTGCAACAAATGTCAAGCAATCCTATGCTTTTAAACCGAGTTGTTGGTGCACAGAGTGGAGGTTTAAGAGCGGCACTTTTAGCGAAAATGGCAGGCTATGGTGGAGCTGCAGACGGAACAGCTTATAACCCTCAAAGTCAAATGAATTTGAGTTCACTCAAAAATCAAATAGCAGATGTCAAAAAGTCAAACATAGACATACAGAAGCAAATAGGTGAAAACGAAAAGAAACTAGAATATGACAGACACACAAAGAAACTCAATGAGTTAAACGTAGAGAAAAAGAAGAAAGAAGAACAACTGAAAGAACTAAGTACAGAGGAATATGCGAAAAAAGTGTCAGAAAAAGCAGCAGAAGTAGCAAAAATGGAACAAGATGTTATAAATTTGAAAAACCATACTACTCAATATAAAATACTGAAAGATGAAGAGATAAAACAAAAAGCCCTGAAGACATATATGGATAGCGATGAGTATAAAAAGGAAGTTGAAGCAAATGTAAAGGCAGAAAAACTTTTACAGTTGCAAAACCAAACCGTACAGTATGAAAACTTAGCACAAGAAAGTAAAAATAACGACGCAGCCATGCAAAAGGCAATGAAAAGCGCAGAATATATAAAAGCTAATAATGACTGGTTAGATGCCCAAGCCAACGCTAAAGCAGCCCAACTCATAGGGTCAATAAGGACAAAAATACAAGCGGATGAAGACAGTTCAAATGAAGCTTTAACAAATGCTGACTTTAAGAACGCTTTCGAAGCTCTTCATAGTAAGGTGAAACAAGTGAACGACTTCTCATCTGGAAAGAAACTGAAGTCTGAAGGTTTCGACAAAGAGTTAAAAGAAGTAGCACAAAATATGACGAAAATAACAGATGCAGCAACGAGACAGGCAGTTCAAAGTGCCTATGACGCCGTTAGAGCAACTGTTGTGAAAAGTCAAGAAAAAGAGTTACAACAGACCAAAACAGACCTAGTAAATGCTTTCTTAAGAACGAAAAGTCAGGTAGGACATTATGCTGCAGATGGAACATATGTGCCAGCTGGTGGAACTTATATACTAGCTAGTGGAACTTATATACCACCAAACCCTCCAAGAGAAGCACCTGCACCAGGACTACCTAAAACATTTACATCGTCACATGGACACAGACACAGGCATGCACCAAAACCAACACAGCAACCAACAGTTCAAAATCCAGCACCACAACCAACAGTTCAAAACACTGCACCACAACCAACAGTTCAAAACACTGCACCACAACCAACAGTTCAAAACACTGCAGCACAACCAACAGTTCAAAACACTGCACCACAACAACCACAAACAGAGCAAGGACATAAAAGAAGTAGAGAACAAGGAAACCAAGAATTCTTAAAAATGCTTAAGGAAAATTATGGTTACCCAGATACTCTTGACTTTAGTGACAGATATAAAGAAGCTATTAGAAAGTTCAAGGAAGGAAATACTGACCCGGACCTATTTAGCTTTATGGTTCAGCACCAAATGGGATATAATTTCAAACCTGGAAAATACAAGCTCGCTAAGGGATATGATTTAATAGCATATCATCCAAATGACATGGATGAATTTACTCCGAGATATTTGGTGTCAGAGATAAATGATAATTCAACTATCTTCATGAAACGCGTAAAAAATAGAGACGGAACGAAAGAAGAAAGGGTTATGAATGCGGATGGCTTAAATAGGGAACTTGTTGAAAACGGTCTCGGAATATATGAAATGCCAGCAGATGAGGTACAAGAAACTCCACAGGAAGAAGTTCAGATACAACCAGACATGGAAGAAATAGTTCAGCAACAACAGCTAGAAGAGCCTGAAGGAAACGAACAAGTCACTCCTTTGGAAACTAACTTCACAGAACTAGATGAAGATTTGGAACAGCCGAAAAATCTTGACCCTCAACAAGAGTATGCGGAGAATATGGAATATTTCCAAGAGTCTAAAAAAAATTCGGCTGACATAGTAGAAGAATATCGAAAAAATGTTTGCCGACATACAAAAGACTCCAGCACCAGATGAAAATATTCAGCATAGAATGGAAGCACTGAAAGAAAATGTACACAAATACAACAACCCTTTTTACTTACGAGCATTTAACGTTCAATCTTCGGATGAACTCGGTGAAGATAAAAGGTTAAATTTCAAGAAAACATATAGAAATGAAACATTGTTTAAAGTTCATTCAGAACCTAACCAAGATGGAAACAAACCTACTTTTGTTTCTGCAGACGATGGAACTACAATGAGATGGGGTCATAAAGCTAATCCAGATAGGTGGTTCATAAACTTACAACCACAATTCCAAGAAGTTGTAGACGCAATGGAAGTCAATGGTGAACCAGATATAGCTGGTATTTTCAGCGCGGCTTTAATGCCATTGAAAGATATGAAACATGCAGATATTTTGGACCAGTATGAAATGAACATGGCTGATGGAAATATAACACCTGACGTTCTAGAACATTTATCTCAAAGAACTACACAGAACCATAGAGATGGTATATTTGGTGAAGAGTTTAGAAAGAAAGTTAGGGAGAGCGAAGGAAGAGAACCTATTGTACATGACCTTGCAAACGAAAGTTTACAAAATGTCATAAAAACTTACTTTGCAGACAATGAACCGAGAAGGGATGAATATTTAAGAAAACTCAAATGGACAGTACCAAATGAAATGTTAGTATTGAAAAACATGTTCCTTGACAAAATAAAACCAACTACAGAAATAAACGACGCAAGACTGAAAGATTGGGTAAAAGCTTTCCCATTCACAAAAGATATTGTTGGTAACATGGAAAGAAAACCAGAATGGCTACAAAAACATATATTTGGAAACGAGCATATTCCATATGGACAGGCACTGTTTGAAGAGCTTGAACCAGAAACTCAGGAAAGAGTCATGCAAACAATACGCGAAGACTCAAATACAGACTATGACAAAATCTTTCTAGGATATAGGTTACCTGAGATGGGCGACCAGAGCCAAAAGGCAAAAAGGACATGGGAAATTTGCAACATACTAGATGAACATAATGCAAAGATGCAACAACTTCAAGCAGAGGGCAAGTTACCAAAAGCGACACCAAAGAAGAAGAGAAGAGTAGAACAAAGTGAAAGTAGTGAAGAAGTAACTTCATCTAGTGAAAGTAGTGGCAATGAAGGAAAAAGAAGAGTTAAAAACTCAGTCAGGAAGAAAGTAAAGCTTGGTCGGAGTGGGTTCTATTATGACATATAAATCCAACTATTCTATATTTTTACTCATATGAAATGTACGCCGCTCAGAATATAACGCCAACAGTTTTGGATGCTATGAATGGAAATGTTTCCGAATGGTATAACGAATGCGACAATGCCATTAGAAGGTCAGAAATAGTTCCTGGAACTTACGAATATACAACTGCTGTTTCTTATGGAAACGTAGGTGAGTTTGGAGAAGGTTCTTCAACAACAGTAGATATTGCTTGCGACAGGTTTCATATTATTTCTATTGACAACTCATTCTTATACGTGGAACAAGACATTGAAATAAAACCTTCTGCCAAGTTGTCTGACAAGAAAGGTTGCAATGGAATTTTCTATGTCGGATACCAATATGCTCCAGAAGTTTTCATGGGATATAAGATATATTCTAACTCTGACTTAGTTCAAACAGTAACATGGGCAAACTATGAATGGTTCGCTTTGAGAAACTCAGTACAACCACAAGCTAGAGAACAAACAGACCAGTATGCAACATTGAGAAAATAAGAAGACTTGACCCTAACGTTCCAGGAGTTTATGTTAACCTTTCTGGTTCAGATGGAAATGCAGTCACTAAAGTAAAACTGAAACTTAGAGTTCCTTTGTCATCTTTCCTCATCTTCAGGTTTTTAAGATACTTGCCAAACTGGGCAGGAAAAATTTCTATCGAACTTACTCCAAGCAAAAATAACTTAGTCATTGCACCAACACAAGACCCATTCACATTACAGTAGCTGGAACGTGGAGCCAATTCTGACTTTTGCAAAGACAAAGTTGACTTAGACTTTGGTTTCTCAAACTCAACACTGAAGTAAACTACTATTTCAATGCTGCTGGAACTGCTTGGGACCCAGTTAAGTTCACATGCGAAAAGTTTGAATGCAAGAGAATAGAAAGCAGACTTGCAGTCTATATGTTGGACCCAGATATTTCAAATGCTTTAGCTGCCAAATATATTGCAGTTCCACTTATGTTCCCTATACACCAAATATCTGTCAAAGACTTTGCAGGTGAAGTTGGAAACCAAAGTGCTGACCCAGGTGCAAGAACAGATATTGCTTAACAACTGCAATGAAACATGCAGATACTATGTTTGTACTGTTCAGACGAACTATAAATGACTATTCTTGCTTCTACAACCCTGGTATTAAATACCATATAAACATAGATGGCAAATATTATCCAAGAGAAGAATATTCTACAGTTGAGGATATGAGGTCATACAACTTGACATTAGATGCTATGAACTTTAACAACAACTTCACAACAACCATTAACCCTGAAATGCAAAGTTCTATTATGCCATATGTGAAAGTATGGACTCATACAGGAGCTCAAAAAACTCAATATACAAATGGAGACCGTTCAAACTTTTGGCTTGGCATTCCATTTGCTGACTCAGAAGACTTTATGGGTGGTATTTCAACTGTTGGTACAGTTCAAATACAATATACTGGTGACAGAGACGGTCCAGATGAATTGAGAGCAAAGAAGTTTACAAAACCAATAGCACTTTTCACGGAAGATGCTCTTTTGAAGATTCGTTCGATGAAACCTGCTGGGGCTCCTCAGATTGGTATAACGACAGCTTCCATCGAGCAGATTTTGGCAGCAGGTCAGTAAGTTGTTCTTGAACTGACTTCTCTCCGTCAAATATTGACAGTACGCCAGTTTTGACATAAAATTGTATTATAAACTTACCTTTAGAAATATCTGTAAGTTTTGTTGTTATATTTTTGTCTGCTTCAAGAACTTTCACCATTTCGGTTATACCAACTTTCTTTGCTTTATGAAAATATTTTGGTTCAGCAAATATTGCTATTCTATAACATTTTCCATTGTTTGTGTAAAGAACTATTCTGTCAATGTATTTGTATTGTTTGTGTGTGTAAACTTTGTTCTGCTTCAATTCGAAGAGATACTCAAATACGTCCATCTTTTTATTCTAAGTAAAATGTCATTTCCGAAAAATAGAAGCGTAAGTGTTTCAAAAGGTTTAATGGCGGTGGCAGATGTGAAGTTAAATTCACCAACTCAAACAAACAGTCAAAGTGTTATTGTCAATGTCAAAGAAAGAGATGTTGAAATGGGGAAACCATACGAAGACCAAGATGGTATAACAATAGTTCCTGTAAAAGAACAACCAACATACCCTGAAGTTAGCAGAGACTTAAGTTCTGTTGCAGATATTCGAAACGACTACCAACAACTTAAAGACAAACTTAAAACTCAGGAGAAGATTTGTCAAGCTTTAGGTATAATGTTAAACTTGGTCGAGCACAACCCTGTAAAAGTGAACTCATATGTCATCGCACCTCATGAATTTTGAAAGAACTATTGAAACTTTTGACAGAGGCAGACGATATAAACATCAAAGAAATAGAACCCGACATTGCTTGCTGTGGTGTTTCATATAATGTCATTGACAAGATATACGTTATGAAAGGAGGTGAAACGTTGAACTTAAAATATAGTTTCCCAGACGTCATAAAAATATTTGACGACCACAACATTTCATTAAAATTTAGTTGCTAAGTAAATGGCAGAAGATAGTGGTTTATACTATTACGACTAAAAACCCTGAGTCATATAATTCTATAACAACAAACTTACAAAGTCCTCAAGGACGATATTGTAAACTGACCTTAAACACGATGACGACTAAAGCCTGTTTTGCTCTTTTGACACCAGAAGACTTTGTTGTTGTGAATGGTAAAAAATACTTCTTTGAAGATACTTACTCAGATATACCACCAACAGGTTTTGTTGACTTATTTAATACTTTAAGGACGGATGTAACATGTGCTGCAACTAGAGCAGGTTTCATTATGTTTGGATGTCCGACTGAGTTTAGTATAAACGATATGAGCTATAATACAAAACTTATATCTGGTTTTTACTACCAACAGTTTCCTATAACAGGAAAAGGTGTCATACAAGGAATGTCTGTTCCATTGACTTTAAGTACACCTATTTATATATTGTTTCAAACTTAGGTTCAAAGTGCTATTCGAATGTCGACAGAAACTACTATGACCAAAAGATACTCATGCGTATAAACAACACTTTCTCTGCTGGTTTGCCTATTGTTCATTCGAATGCAGAGTTTTCAGCTTTAGAACTCAAACACTTTAGCAAAATAAACTTAACCTTAGTTGACGCAAACTTTGTTCCTGTAAAACTTTTATGTCCTATGTATTTGTCAATGACGGCAGAAAGTTTCGAATTGGAAGATGCAACTGGTGAAAGTATTGTACTACAAGAACAACTTCAACAACAAATAGCTCAAGAACAACAAATGCAACAAATGCAACAACAAAGTCAAGAATAAAAAAAATATTTTTTTTTATTTTTATAAAAATGTACAGAATAGACGTTTCAGATTTTTATGACTTCCAAGCGTTCAGAAATATGTGTCCATTTGAGACTATAACAAAGCAGTCGAGAATTTGAAACGTTTAGTCATTTATGTTGACTCTGCCCCAGAATGTTATTCATGAAAGAATGGGATGTTGTCTTTAACAAACCAAGAGCAACAATAGTTTCAGAACAAGAATGTAGACAGAAACTTAAGAAAATAAAAGTCGTACAAGTTGGTATGAAGATGTTAGATGCTTGGGATATCTTATTGTCAAAGTTAGAAGATTTTTCAGTTCGTGGTATAAAGTTCTATACACCATCTCCAAACTTCTATTCTATCTTCACTGGATATAAATACGAACAAGTAGAATGGAAAGAAAATGTTATAGAAGCTTGGTTAGACCATGTCAAAGAAATTATATGCAATGGAAACGAAAGAGTCTATGAGTATATCTTATGTTGGTTTGCAAACATCTTACAACATCCAAGTGCTAAAAATGAAACTGCTCTCATTATAATTGGAAAACAAGGAACAGGTAAGAACACTTTCTTTACAGATATCTTATGCAAACTGTTAGAGGGCTATTCGAACCCGAATATGACAAACTTAGAAAACATCTGCGGTAAATTTAACTCTTCAATAGAGAATATGAAACTTATAGTATGTAACGAACTTCAAAGTATAGATACAACAAAGTTTTAAACTCAGATGCTTTGAAGAGTCTTATAACAGACAAAGTTGGAGTTGTTGAAAGAAAGTATAAAGACCAAAGAGTTTGTGAAAATGTTGCAAATTTCATCATGGTTTCAAACAATGTTGTTCCGATGAAGTTAGAAAGTTCTGACAGAAGATATGTAGTTGTCAGAACGTCAGATTCTCATATGCAAGATACAGAATATTTTGACGACTTAGCAGAAACTTTGACACCTAACTTTTACAACCACTTGTTCTCATATTTCATGACATTAGATATTTCAAAGTTCAATCCAAGACAAATTCCACATACCGAAGAAGACAAACATTGTTAGAAGCAAACAAGAGTGTATATGAACTGTTTATAGATGAGACTAACTTTGTGTTTAGATGAAAGGTCATTGTACGATGAATATAAACAATATTGTCAAGAGTATGGTTATATGGCAGCGTCTAAACGAACATTCTTGGCAAATGTCAAAAATCTTTTAGACATACAGAACGGCGTATATACAAAGAAAAATTTTTCTGAGTAAATTTAAAAAAATATTTTTTTATCCGATAGAAAAGATGACGAAATATATTTCAGTCAACAAGTACATGACAGGTCAAAGAAGAACTAGACCCATTCGCTTATTTGAATGTTTACTTCTACCATTTTGAAAAGTCTACATTTGACAAAGTTTGGAACATCGAACCAGTTAAGTTTGCTATTGTGACTAAAAATGGTGCGAAATTTGAAGACTTAGACATAGAAGGTTTGTTAGCAGTCAAAGAAAATTTTGACAGAAGGTTTTCAAACCTTAAAGAAGGCAAAGCATACAAACTTGTTATACCTTATGAACCAAAGAAAGCAGACGACTATGAATATTATGAGTCTAAGATAGTTGAAGTTCAAGGTAAATTGGGTAAAAAGATTTTAGAGTCTAAGCCAGTGTTTGCTCCTAAAGAGGAAGAGAACATTGACATTGACCCAGAAATGTTCTAAAAATAAAATTTTATTTTTACATGTCAAATTTCTTTTTCTCTGGAACTGGTTCAGGTTCTTTCTTCTCTTCTTCTACTTTCTTTTCTTTCTTTTCTCTCTTCTTCTTCTTCTTCTCTGGTGGAGTTATGTCAAATTTGGCGCAACCATATTTATGTAAAAGTTCTTTGTCCTTTAATAGCTCTTCTATTCTGTTTTCTATTTCATCTTCAAGAACAGCGCATGTGTCTTCTTTGCATTCTAAGAACTTTTGTTGGACTTCATCTCTCCAATCGGCGTCATCTCTGTCAACAAGTCTGTCATTGACAAACTTAAAGACTTCTCTGCTTAATGTTTTATGGTTCTTGTCATATTCCCAGAAACAGAACTTTAGAACAAATTCACCTTTCTTGTTTACACTATGTAAGATTTTATGGTCGACAGATGTTTTGCTGTCGAAAAGTTTGTCTCGAATATAGATAGCGAAATCGCTAGACATTTCCTAAAAGATAAAAATTTTTAATTTTTCTAAAAATATGTTAGAAAAAAAGTTTGCTGACATTGACAAGAAATTTGAGAATGTTTTAAAAAGAACAAGAGGAAGTTAGAAAATGCTCAGATAAAGCCTATACATGACAAGTTCTTATTTGCTCAGAATGGTATAACAGGTCTAATTGCACCACCTGGGTCGGGTAAGACTTTCACTTATCTTAAAATGGCTGCACAACAACAAGAACTAGATGAGAAGAACCCATTCTATGAGTTAGTTGTCATTTGTAGTACTTCTGGTCAATTTGACCAAACCGTCAATTCGTTCAAAGATATTATAAAGAAGTCTAAGTTAGTATGTATAAAAGACTCTGAGTTGTTAGATTGGATAAAGAAGTACCAAAGAAGAGTTTTGAAGTACAATGCTATAAATGAGTATGTCAATTCGAAGTTTAAAGACCCAAATGAGGAAATGCAGAGAATATTAGAGAAGAAACACTTCAGAAACAAACAGAAAGAGATAGAATACATTTCGAAGAAATTGCAATCTTACGATTGGAAGACTTACCCTCATAGATGTCTTCTTATCTTAGATGACTTTGCTTCTCATCCTTTGTTAAAGAACAGAGAACAAGACATGTGTCGAATTCTTAAGAAGCTCAGACACTTTAACATCTCAGTTGTCATTTGTGTACAGACAGCAAGAGTTTAAGTAAGGATGTAAAAGAATACTTACTGACATCATACTTTTCCCTGGATTGTCCGAAGACGATTTCATGGAACTTATGAAAGAGTCCATGGCAGGTAAGTTTGACAGACATGAACTATGGGAGAAGTACAAAGTCATACAAGACCCTCATACTTCTTTCAGAATTCATATCTACGCAAACAAAGTTCAAATTGTAAAAAGTCAAGCTTGAAAAATAAAGAGTTTTGGCGACCAGGGTTTTTTACTACTCGCTGTTCTTCTCTCGTTTCATACGGAATTCAATAAAAATAATGTTTATGTTAGAATGTTAGATCTAACATGTTTTCTAACATGTTTTCTAACATGGTCTAAAACATACAAAATTCATGAAATTTCATACGGAATTCAATAAAAATAATGTTTATGTTAGAATGTTAGATCTAACATGTTTTCTAACATGTTTTCTAACATAACTATTTACAAGCGTTTTACATGGTATATGTTGCGATGGTTCATGACTCTAAACAATTTCGTAGCTTCTATTTCTTCTTCAGTATGTCAAAAGTTTTAACGATACCGAAAGTTTCTTTATACTTCTTCTTGACGTCAGATAGAAGGAAATCGTCAGCTGTTGGATAGTTTTTGTTTAGAAATGTAACATGTTCATTTTATCTTCTGCTGGTTTCTGCTTCTTTCTTTAAATCTGCATAGTCGTTTCGCATACTTCTATCTCTTTGACGAGTAGTTATATTTCCTCATTGCTGCTTTACATTTTGAACATTGCGGGTTCATTTTTGCGTTATATTCTGAAACCTTACCTGCTAAAACAACTAAGGCGTCAATGCTTTCTTCATCTCGAACATAGCGGGTCTTATTTGTTCGTTCCATACCTTACCCTACTATCTTTATCTCTTATTTCCCAAACACATTTTGCAACTAATGAAACAAAGTTGTCGTAGGTCTTAAATTCTTCGGATTTGTAAAGGTCAGAGATGTTCTTATATACCATGTCGCAATCTTTGTCCATAACCTTATGGTTGCAATGAAATCCAGAAACTCATAGTTAACCTTTCGTATGAACTTCTTTATTTCTACTGAGTCAGTCTTTGACTTCTATTTCGTCGAATTCTGGAATAGTAGTTTTTGTTGTTGGATTTCAGGAAGTTTGGTAAATGGTCAATAATATCCTGCATTTCATAAAGATACTGTTCATTGTTTCATCTTTCGCACTACAGTCCAAATACTTGTTAAAAGTTCTTGCTTTATCTTCTGGATTTTGTTTCGAAAGTATATGAAGAAGGAATGAAGCTTTTCATCTCTACTAACATTGAAGTTGGGTTCATGACTAACGAGTTTGGTGCTGTTGTTGCTAACATGTTCTTACAATAAAAATAAAAAATATTTTTTTAAAAAAACTAACTTTATTTTTTATTTCGGGAAAATTCATGAAAATTCAAGAGTTTTAGACCATGTTAGAAAACGTGTTAGAAAACATGTTAGAACTAACATTCTAACATAAATTATATTTTTGGTGTAAAATTCATGAAAATTCAAGAGTTTTAGACCATGTTAGAAAACGTGTTAGAAAACATGTTAGAACTAACATTCTAACATAAATTATATTTTTGGTGTAAAATTCATGAAAATTCAAGAGTTTTAGACCATGTTAGAAAACGTGTTAGAAAACATGTTAGAACTAACATTCTAACATAAATTATATTTTTGGTGTAAAATTCATGAAAATTCAAGAGTTTTAGACCATGTTAGAAAACGGTTTAATAGAAAAAGTGTTATTTTTTCATGTCCGAAGACTCGAAGGTGCAACACTTCCAAAATACCGACGAACTCAGAAGAGCAGCATGGCAGTATCTTCTTGACAACTTCTTTGAGTTCTCCAGGTACACCTTGGAAAATGCTGAAGAACTCCGACACAGAGAATTTGGAGAAATTGCACTCCAATACTACCTTGACAAACAAAGGGTAAACAAAGGGTAAAATAAGACTAAAAACTTAACGTTTAAAAAGTGACATTTTTATGAGCTCCGAGTCACCGAGAAAACTTGGTCAGATGTTAGCAGCTTACTTCCCTGAGGAGGATGGAAGCGTTACATACGTAAGGTTCAAAAACAACGAACCTGGAATTGCGTACCAAATTCGCAATTACATGACCATGGAAGAGTACGAAAGGTTTCTACAAGAGAAACCAGCTCTAAACAACTCAGAAAAGAAAGAATAAAAAGTTTAACTCGTAATTGTTTATTTTTTTACTTGTATGGGCAAGCTGCAAGAATGAAGTCGACTATCTCGGTCTTTGTCTTGACCAGTTGGACTGCTCTTGCGAGTACGTCTGTTTTGCGGTCTCCAGCTGGTGTCTGACCTTCGTAATTGCGCATGTTCTTGAGAGCTCCAGTTGTAAATGGTTGTAGGATGAAGAGTCTCTCAGACTGCTTGAGGTAGTCTTCACGGTCACGAACCGAATCTGTGGTACGAGTCGAATCGGTCGATTTGAGGGAAGAGAGTGAGAGCCTGTCTTCTTCCATAGGGGCTGTGGCATACTCTTTGCGTAAACGGTTCAGACCTTCTTCGAACTCTTGGTCTCTCTTGGACTGAGATTGGAATTTGAATTGGGGTGGAGGGTTTGACATGAACATCCAAGGGTTAGGGAAGTAAGGCATGGGTTGAGGAGGGTAGTTTGGAAAGCCTTGTGGTGGGTAGTTTGGAAAGCCTTGTGGTGGGTAGTAACCTTGAGGTGGAAATTGGTAGTAATTCGGAGGTCCTTGTTGGAACTGAGGTTGCTGTGGGGAGCCTTGTGGAGGTGGAACCTGTTGTGGTGCTGGAGCATGCTGTTCTTCTGGCTGTGGAACGGGTTCAGTAGGTGGGACGTCGGACATTCGTTTGTGTCTTAACCGTCTTTGTTCTGAAACAATATAATATTGTCTTGAAAAAGTACAATATTGTCTTGAAAAAGTACAATATTGTCTTGAAAAAGTACAACATTGTCTTGAAAAAGTACAACATTGTCTTGAAAAAGTACAACATTGTTCTGAAAAAGTACAACATTGTTCTGAAAAAGTTCAAGACTTGTTCTGAAAAAGTACAGCCGTACTCAAATTTGAGAGACATTGTACTGAAAAAGTACAACATTGTACTGAAAAAGTACAACATTGTCTTGAAAAAGTACAACATTGTCTTGAAAAAGTACAACATTGTCTTGAAAAAGTACAACATTGTCTTGAAAAAGTACAATATTGTACTGACTCAGTATGGAGCTTGACCCCTTAGACGAAGCAATTTATCTAATTGAGGTAAATGAAACCGTGAAGGAATATCTCAGCAAGTGCAAACCAAGCAAGTCCATTGGCTTCTGGTTGTCCAAGAATAGTGTCTTAAAGTTGGAAATTGAAACAGGTGTTGCAATTCAAGTTCCAGAAGGCACTGCATTCGATGATATTAAGGATGTGAAGAAAGAAGCCCTCTTGAAGTTCTTCATGAAACGTCCTTGGATACTACTTCCATATCGTGAGAGCCCAATTCCACGAATTACACAAATTCTCAGAGCACTACTTCACTACTCTGGACAGCCGTTCTTCATAACCTCAGAAGGCGACATCCAACCAATTCAGTAAACATCTCATTTTAACTTCACTTTTTTTATGTTTTTACTCACACTCGTACTCAACAGGTTTGTGTACAACTATTTCAACTGTGAACCTTGTATTGACCGGTCTTCCTGCAAATGCAAGTTCGGTCAATACACAATTTATGGTGGCAAGAAAGACAGTGGGGAATGTTATTCTGACATCTGTTGTTGCGCTCGAGAGAGAATTGAAATTCCAGACCCAACTCCAACAAGAACTCTCAAGTTGCCGAAGACTCATGTGAAGAAGAAGCCTTCTGGTAAGTTTCTTATAGCCATCTATATGGCACGCTTTGAGTAAAAACATTTTTTTTTCTTTTTTGAATGAAGCAAGTTAAATTCGTCCCACACCAAACTCAATGGACCGATGAAGAGTTTCAAGCTATGGTTGAAGGTGTTGAGAACGACATAGACGGCGAACTTGAAGGAGCTCAAACCACAATTGCAACCAAAATTGCACAAGTCAAGGAACAGATAGCTCCACTTAAAGCTACCAAAGCTACTCTTGACCTCATGGATAGTTACCGTTTAGAAGTAAAGAGTGGAATAAGACAATTAAAATTAAAACTTCTAAACTACGAAGCTATACTCCAAAAGTTAGCAGAAATGAGAAGACTTTACCAGAGCTACTTACATGTAAGGGACTTACCTTCAAGCAGTCCGACCAAAGATGAATTTTCTGACATTGTCCCAATTTTGTCCGAAAGTCAGCTCAGATGTTTCGAACTGCTCCCAACATATCCAGAATATGAACGTTTGCCTGAACTCTTCCGCAATCTCAAAAAACGTTTTTTGGTTCTCATGTTCGAAACTTTTATCGGAAGAGACAACAAACGTTCAGAAGAAGAACAAGATATTATTTTAAACTTGTTGTATGACTTAACCGTCATAACAAGCTTTTTGAAGTAAAACCGTCATTCTCAAACCACTTCATTTTTTCGATGTCCGAACAAGCACCGAAGCCGAACACAATGGCAGATGTCCTTTCAATGTTGCCAGACAAGCGCCCAGTTCAAATTCAAATTTTGAATTTGAAAGCTCATCTGACAAACACCGTTAAGACTCTCCAAAGTAGTCTTATGGAAGAGATGAAGGGACTTAAAGGTGAGTTCCTCATGAACCAAGCTTCCAATGAGAAATGCCTGAATGATTTGACGGAAACCTTGCGCATTTACGCGAGAGAGAACCGAGACCTTGCCAGACTCATCTACCGTTTCTTCGAAGAGATAGACGCCATCTGGAAGGTACTCGGAAAGGACAGAACCTCCAACACCGTATTCGTGAACACAGAATTGAAGAAGGAATTGTCGAGGAAGAAGAAGAGAAACACGAAGAAGAAGAGGAAGAAGAGGAAGAAGAGAAACACGAAGAAGAGGAAGTTTGGGCAACCCTTGTTGCCGATGACTTACGAAATTTCCCAACCCTACCCATACCAAATCCGCAACAAGGAGACAGGCAAGGTTCTTACCCCAGTCCTCAACAACTTGGGACACTTGAACCTTACCCTTCGGAATTACGGTTCAATCTCCATGGGCAAGCTTGTCGCAATTCAATGGGTTCCAAATCCAACAAGAAGACGAAGGTCAGACACATTGACGGTGACAAGCTCAACAACCGTAAGGAGAACCTCGAGTGGTTCTAAGAGTAAAAAAATTTTATTTTAGGGGGAAACCCCGAGTAAATTTAGGTGTTTATTTAGTTAAGTAGCTTAAATTAAGGAGAATTTGGACAAGTAGTTCCTGACCTCTGAATTGGACTCTTTCGTCATCCCAGTTGCGTAGGAGGTCGTCCCAGAGGAGTTGGTAGAATTGCCAATCCAAGGACGATTTGTCCTCCCAGGCATTGAGGATGTACTGCTCGTAGAGTTCATGACCTCTGCCTTGCACCAGACACCCTCTCCCTTGGAACGTAAGGCTTCTTCGAAGTGCTCGAATGCGATTGGCTGCGGACCATCTGAAATGACACTTTTTGTCCGTTTGGTCAATGTTCGTGTCTCGTGCCATAGTCGACGAAAATACAGACAAACAGGTTATATATGAGTTTGAGACCAAGAATGTAACTCGACCTGTCCGATTCAAATTCGAATAAAAATTTTTTATTTCATGCAATGTTTTATTTCTGTGCCGTCTTCAAGTATGCCCCAGTACTTACGCTTGGAGAGGACATGAACTTCGGTGAAAATTTTGTCCAATTTGAATTGACCCATCTTTTCACCGACCATTCCCATTTCAATGAGTTTGTTTATACCCTTCTTCGTTCGTCATGAGTGCGTCAATGTTCTCATAGTAAACCTTCACTTTGGATTTGACTTCGGAGAAGAATTTGTTGTAGTTGTCAAGGACTGCCTTTGCGAACTGAGGGTAAGACCAATGTTCGACAATAGGTTTTACTGTGGTTACTAAGCCACTTGACCTTGAGTAAATTCGTATTTCAAAACAAAAGGGGAGAACCTTTCAACAAAGTTGTCGACCTTCTCATAGTGTTTACTCTTCATCTCTTGAGGTTTCTTAATGGAATATCCCCATGTCGAATTCATAAGCAATTTGAGTGTCATTGCAAGTTTGGGGTTTGAAGCTTTCCTAATATCATACAGTTGTTGTATGACTTTTCCAACTGTATAGTTCCTTCCTGGGAACTCACCGTCTTCGTTTGGAATTCCAGTCGGGATATATTGGACGAACCTCATGTATGCAGCGTTAAGGTCGACATAGTATATCTTTTCATCTGAGTCGAACTTGTCGCAACCAATGGGTCCAGTTCGTGGAAATTCAAGTGAGTCTCTTATCTTCTGAGAAACTTCTCCTGTTATCTCATAAACATCGTCGAAGCAACCTGTTTCAAATAAAACCTTCTGACCTAACTCCGATGCTCTCCAATACAATTTGACGTCAATTGGATGTCTCAATGGAAGTTTGTTTATAGCATCTTGAAGTTCTTGCAACCTCATTGGAAGTTCTTCTGGTTCAGGTTGGTATCCGAACAATCCAACTCCTTTTGGAACTGTGTACTTCTTTTGTGCTAGAACTTTGTCTGGAACAACTTTTGGTCTTGCTAACAGTGAAAAGTTTGTTTCGTCTTTTGGTACAAAAGTTTCTGTCAGCTTGTCATCTGGAATTGGTTCCAACAAACCTTTCTCGAAAAGAATGTTTACAGCTCTGACAATGTTGCACTTGCCTTTTCCGAACATAAGACTTTCGTTCAACATGAAGTGGTTGTGGACAATTACAATCTTCAACCATGGTAAGTCTTTGTCAACAACATAGTCGTCATGTGAAGAACCTTTAGCTGTAGGTATGTTGACTCGGATATTGACATTTGCCAACGGTGCAATTTTTGCCAATTGACCTCTGAGAATGTACCTTGTCTTCACACATGACTCAAGATACTTCATCTTCTCATCTGTAACAAGACCAGAGTTCCTGAGACATGTAAGAATACAAGGTTCATTGACAATTGTTTCAATTGAATTGTAAATTCCATACCTTGTCAAGTCAATGTCAGACTTATTTATGAACGGGAAGTATCCAGCATGTTGTCTGACTGCTTGAGGGTTAGGTTGGTACCATTCAAATTTTACACTTGCAATTCCTTCAATTGCATTCAAAATGTCTGAGTCGGAGTCAACCATTTGTTCTCTCTTTGTAGTCTTGAAAGCGTCAAGAAGCATTGCAGCTGTTGTGACATTGCCATGTGCATAGTAAATGTGACCGTCCAAATCTGTTATGGTTAGTCTGAGATTGTATCCTTTCTTATTTCCGTCTTGTATGCAGCAAGTACACCCATGAAGCCTTCTTTGTTCTTTCCTTCGTCAAAGTTTACTGTAAAGGTTCGACCAGATGTAATTTGACTTCTAACTTCACGATACTTTTCATATGCATATCTTGTTCTTTCCATGGGAGCATGTGCGTCTTCACCTTTTCCTTTTTTCCTTCTCAAAGGATGCAATTGTTCGTCATGTTTCCAGTAGAATCTGGCAAAGCCGTCGTGTCCTTCAACTTGAGGTTCACTAACATCGAAAGGCATGTCCATAAGACGTTCTTCTTCTAACCTCTCTAGTCTGTTTGGATAATTTGCGCGTGCTGTTTCCAAGTCCATTTCATAGCGAAGACCAGAATTTGTCATAGACTTTTATGGGTCTTCCCTTCCTATATTTAAATTCTTCGAAACTTTCCAACCATATCTTTCTAACTCTGCTTTTATTCTAGCAGATTTCTATCCATTCTATATGGGGGCATTTTTATAAAAATAAAAAAATATTTTTTTCTTTACTTTACATAACCGCTGCCATAAGTCTTTGACGCCAACCCATACCAGCTAATGAAGGTTGACTTGGTTTAGTTTGGAAACTAAACTTTGGTTTTGGTTTATCTTCAGTTTTTGGTTTTTCTTCTTCTATCGGTTTTTCGTCACTTTTCGGTTCCTCTGACTTTACCTCACTTGCAGGTATGGTTGTGTCGTCAACATCTTCATAAATATCATATGCCATTTGTTTTTGTTTTCCTTTCAACTTTTTGTGTTTGTTGTAAAGTTTAGAATATTTCGACTCTAAGTCAATGAGATGTTCTATAATGAACTGTTGGTCAGTGAAGTAAACTTTTCCATCTGTTGTCTCGAAAGCTCCTTCAGACTTCAATATTTTATTTGTGAGAGTCTGTTTCTTTTTTGAGATACTAGCCGTTCCATTTCTATGAAAAGTGACTTTGTAGTTAGGGTTTGTATTTCCAGACCTGGCACTTTCTATTATTGAATTTTTCTCTTCATCTGTAAGTTCTTTGACAGGTTTTGACAATGGTTCTGAACTTTTTGTTTGTGGTGTCAAATCTACCGTTTCAACTTCTTCGGTCATTTCATCTCAGTAAAAAATTTTAGTTTGGTTTGTTTTCAACTGGTTGTTTAGGTTTTTTAAGTCGGTCTAAAACTTCCTGAGGTATAGGAAGAACTTGACAAACACGTGGTTGTGTAACTGCTGGAAGTCGACAAATCCATCTTGAACCCATTTGTCTCAATGCTGTATTGTTCATTTCATCTCAGTAAAAAATTTACATTCCCCACGTTTGAGGCGGTTGCGGTTGGTTTTGTTTACCCACTGTTGTGCATGGTTATATCCTCTGTTAAAGAATCTTTCACCTTGGTCCATATAGTGCCCTGCTTGGTTATAGTAGTCATTTGCTTTGTTATAGTAGTTTCCTGCTTGTCTTCCTACATTGTCCATCCATCCTTGAACTTTTCCTCTTGTTTCAGGATTTGGAATAAGATTTGCTGCATCTCGTGCTACATCCCAACCTTTCTGTACAGTTTGTATAATAGGTTGTGCTTTCTCTTTAAGTATACCTAATGTACTCAAAATCTTCCTTCCAATTCCAAATGCACCTCTGGCTATTGTTCCCACTGCGGGCAAAAATCTGGATGCAACTCCTGCTAATGCGCCAAATAAACCCATTTCTTATAGGGTAAAAAATGACGAATCCAAACAAGGACCCCTATGTTTCTAAGCAACAAAGAAAGCACTCATGATAAAAATCTTTAGTTCAACACCAAATGCTTGGTTTATGGATATCTTGGAAAACATTCCGAGGTATAGAGAAGATGGACCACCATACTGGCTAATATTTGTCGGTCAAAACACAAGATACTGTGAAGCCATACCATTACAGTCCAAAAATATTTTAGATGTGAAAACTGCTTTGACAATATTCGTTGACAAATACCATCCAACAAAACTGACATCTGACTGTGAAAGTTCTTTCAAATCAGACGATATTAAAAACTATCTGCGTTCAAAAAATGTAAACCAATATTTCATTGTCGACCAAAACCATTCTGCTCTTGGTGTCATTGACAGTTGTATAAAAATCTTAAGAGACTTAAACCAACCACAAGGTGGTGAGGTAGATGAAATGTCATATGACGACAAATATAGACACTTCTCCATGGCAAAGATGAGACAAGTTTTAAATATTTACAATAGCCGTAAACAAAAAGGTTTGGGAAACCACTCCCCCGAAGAAATGAAAAACAACCCGACTTAGAGAAAGACTATATATTTAATAGTTTAGTCAAAAGAGACAAACAAGAAAGAATGCCAGGCTTCAAACTTAAGAAAGGTGACAAAGTAAAAATAGAAATACCTAAACGCGACCCATATGAAAATACTATTGACTATGACAACAATGGGAACTCGACAGGTACTCACATTCGTGTTCGTAAAAATAGAAGAAAGTATACAAGAGAATATTATGAAGTTTTAGGCAAACATGGCAAAATGTACAGACTGCAAGCAGAAGATAAAACTACTATTGTCAGACCTCGTTTCAAACTTGTCAAAGTTCAAGGTGGTATACTTTCAAAGACAGTTCCTAACAAATATAAGACAACTCCTGACGAATATGCTAAAGAAGTTGAAAATGACGACTAAGCAATTCTATACCATGCGTAAACTGTCATGTAAGGTGGCATGTAGTCTTTACTTGTCCCGTTGTTTGCGTATATCCTGAAACGCGATGTGTATGGTTTCCTCTCCCTGAGTGTCACTCCAGTAACAATTTATAGCAAACTTAACGTCGTCTTTAACATCATATCCTTTACCTTTTGTCATTCCTGACCAATCCCAATATCTATGCTTATGCCAACCTGCTTGAGATGTACTTAAATCTATGTAGTGACTGTGTGCAGGTAAATTTTCACCTGAAATCGTTTTACTTCCACCTGTTTCCTTTGAAGAGTTTGCACAATACAAAAAACCTGTCGACTATTTTGTTCCCATGCACCAACACCAAACATTACTTGAGGACCTCTTGCTTCCATAGATGTATAAATAGAACCTACTGGGTTCATTAAATCAAACATATGAGATATTATAGGATTGTCTCTTTTGAACTTAAAATATAGTGCAACTATTTCAGGTTTCTTCTGGTTTGTGTCAGAATATTTTTATAATATAATCTTATGTTTTCAGGGTAGGTAAAGTCTTGACTATAATATTTATTTCTGTCATCTTCATAATAGTATACTATTCTCGTTTTTCTATTGCATTATATCTTTTATATCTATAAAAATCTAAATATAATGTTAGCTTTTGTTCATCTACATGTGGTGTTCTAACGTCATCTCCATAGTCATAATATATGGTGCTGGAGCTGGGTCAGGCAATGTCATATCTGTCATTTCATAAACTCTTAAATATTTCTTTTGTTCGTCTCCATATAAGTTTAAGTAGCAGTTGTTGTCTAATGGAACTTTAACTTGTGTACCATCGTTCTTTTTATAGCTTACATACATTTCATTGTTATTTTTCGGAATGAGTTTATACCGTGTACCATTTTCTAAGGACTGTACCAACTGCCATCTAAAATATTTGTTTTCTTCATTGACAGAAAAGTCACCAACCATAGTTTCAATATTTTTTGTTCCAAGCAAACTTTGGTATATTTCATTGACATATGTTTTATCTGCTTTATTTTCAAGGCTAACGTTTAAGTCTGTTATTTCAGAAGATGTATGTGTATGTCCAACGGCACTTTTCCTGTTTAAGGTTTCTTGTAAGTTTGTAATATTTGCAATGGTATGTGTATGTCCAACGTCACTTTTCCTGTTTAAGGTTTCTTGTAAGTTTGCAATATTTGCAATGGTATGTGTATGTCCAACGTCACTTTTCCTGTTTAAGGTTTCTTGTAAGTTTGTTATTTCAGATATAGTATGTGTATGTCCAACGTCACTTTTCCTGTTTAAGGTTTCTTGTAAGTTTGTAATATTTGCAATGGTATGTATATGAGTCTTTTTAGAATATTCTTTGTCAGCTCTTGTCACTTCACTTGACATTTTATTGTCAACATATGTTTTGTCCGCTAGTTCAGGATGAGTATGTTCTTTTGTTGCATAAGCGTTGTTAGCTCTTTCTTCTTCTTTTGCTATTGCATCGTCTACATACTCTTTGTCAGCTTTGTTGTCAATATCTGCCTTCAAAAGAAGTTCATCTATAGGTTTCTCGTTTAAAGTTCCTTTTGTTGGATTTACACAGACAGTATGGTTCCTATTGTCTTGAAATAGAAACTCATCTGTCATTGGGTTTATCGTCAGTTTTAAGTTTCCTTCTTTCAATGACTCAGATATCTTAGAATAGTTTGAAAAGTTTGTTGTGTTCTTATATTTAGAGCTTGCATAATGAGTTGTCGGTTGTGTTGTATTTCTCTTCATAGACGCTGTTTCATTTGACATTTTTATTCTAGATAAAATATGCTTCCAATAAAAAAAAAATTCAAGAGTTGCTACAACTAAACCATTAGATGAACTTTTTACTAATGTAGGTCAAAAGTTTGAGACAGAGACCGTAAAGCATGAAGGCTATCGTTTTGACTACCCGTTAAGATGGTTAAGAGACCCATCCGTCACAAAAGCTATTGGCTTTCGTAGAATGAAGTTTGTGTCTGTAGAAGATAAAAGTTTTCCATTTATTGTAAGGTTTCATATAGATTATATATCTGAAGGGAAACGAAAAATGTGGGAAGAAATTGAGCTAATACAAGTTGACCTTTCATCTTCTCTACAGACTGCGTTAAAAAATATAGAAGATAAAATAAATTCATGTTATGCAAAATATGCTGATGAATATGCAAATACCGAGAGCACACT